AAGGGAAAAACTTGAAAAGGGGGAAGTTTTTACTCCTTACATCAGTTCCAAGGAATAACTAACTGATGTCCTTACAAATGGTCTTCACTATTTGCAACATAATGAATTGTGTGACAAGTTGGGCATGATTGACATATAAGCTCCAACTTGAGGGGGAGTGTTGTAACATGTGGCAGCCTAGTAGGGGCATTTCTGGCTTTTCCTATGTTATTTGTTATAAGTTGTTGCCCTAAGTATAAATACTAACTTAGGCGCCGCTAGCCATATGATTGAATAGAGTTCTTTTTCTCTTCTCTCTTTCTCCTCTCTTCCTTCTCTTTTCTCTCTTTCAGTACTATTGAACTACATTCTTCTCCAAAGACTTAGCCACCCCACTAGGAATTGGATATAAAGAGAGCAAATACAAGGGGGGGGGGGAGATAGAACACTTTTCACAGAGCTAATTTGCCTCCATAAGATAATTACTTGGACTTCCAAGAAGCCAAATGCTTGTATAATCTCTCCACAATGGTCTCCCATATTGATTTGGAGTTGCACCTTGCACCTAGAGGCATCCCCAGATATTTCAAAGGAAGTTTACTTTTTTTACATCCCCACTCCTCCGCTCACCTCTCTATTTCTGGTACATCTCCCACTGCAACCAGTTCGGTTTTATGCCTGTTTACATGGAGGCCTGACACAACCTCAAACCACTGCAGCACTGCCATTACATAACTAAGGTGATCAAGTGAAGCATCACAAAATATGAGTGTCATCTGCAAACTGCAACAAAGAAACCTCCACCCTCTCAGCTCCAACCTGAAAACCTTCTGTGAAATTAATTTGTATATACTCCCAACCAGACTAATTGGTCTGAAGTCTCCCACTTCCTCTGCCCCTTTTTTCTTTGGAACTAGAGTTATAAAAGTGGGATTTAAACTCCTTTCCATAGCTGCTGAGTCATGGAATTCTTAGAACACCCTTAAAACATCATTCTTTGGTAAACCCATCCGGACCCAGAGCCTTATCTCCTTCCATCTCTTTTAGAGCCTCCCAAATCTCCCTTTCCTCAAACTCTCTCTCCAGATCTGCAACTTGCTCCTCTGAGAGGCCATCAAACTCCAGGCCATCAAGTTTTGGCCTGTTAACCCACTCTTCCTTGTAAAGGTTCTCATAAAACTCCACAATACGGCTTTTCATGCTGTCTACCTCCTCCACCAACACACCATTCACAACCAACTTTTTCAGCATATTTTCCCTTCTCCTAGCACTAGCTAATTTGTGTTGTTATCACCCTTTTTTAACCAGAAACATTTGGAACGCTGCCTCCATTTTGTCTCCTCTTCAGCTCTGTCGATTTTTACTATTGTATCTAAACAACTTTTCAGTTTCTGTTCCACCCCTTTGAAAGAGTCCTTCCAGATTTTAATTTGCTCCTTTAAGGCCTTCAACTTCTTTCCAACACATGACTAGCTGTTCCTTCCACTGAAACACCTTCCCACCAACTTCTTAGCTGCTCCACAAAACCTTCATCTTCAAGCCACAAGTTTTCGAATCTGAAAAGCGCTGGCTTGAATTGAATGCCATCGCAATCCAGGCAAATGGGAATATGATCCAATAAAGGTCTAGGAAGGACCTCTTGGGACAGATTAGGGAACTTCTCCTCCCATTCAGTAGACACCACAAAACACTCTAACTTCACAAGGGTTGCATCCTCCTGATTGTTTGTCCAAGTGAATTTGGCTCCCATCAAAGAAAGATTCACTAACTCCCATCTCTCCATAAAACTGGCAAAACCCCTCATGCCTCTCCTGGACCTCACTTCCCCTTTTTTCTCATGCTCAAAACGAGTAGTGTTAAAATCCCCTCCTACCACCCAAGGCATATTCCACTCTTCTCTTACTTCATCAAGTTCCTGCCAGAACAAATCCCTCAAGGAGTTCACATTTGGACCATATACTGCAGTTAAAACAAAATCCCAACCATCTTCGAGCATCTGGAACCAAATTGAAATAGAAAAAAGCCTCACCTTCCTACCCTTCACTTCTACCACATTTGAATCCCAGATAACTACTACCCCACCTTCCCCCCAAACACTTCTTATTTTCTGGGCATCCAAAGTCTCCATTTTGGTTTCTTGGAGACAAAGGATGTCCGCCTTCCACTTGCTTATATGTGCCCCTGCCACCACCGTTCTCCTGCCTGAATTCAGACCTCCGATATTCCAAGAGACGATCTTCATTTGAAAGAAGAGACAGATTGGTTTGGTGGTCCATTCCCATCCCCGCCCTCCCATTAAGCCTTACCCCATAAACCCTCCTTTCCACCCCACGCTACACCCCCAGCAACTTCGTTAAGTCCCCATGACAATCTGAACAACTCCCTTTCTTCCTTTTCTCTTCGAGCACTCTTCTCTCCACCTCTACAAGATACGACTTCGTCAGCTCCTCCATGCCCTTAAGAGACACCCCCAGGAAGGCAACAAACTCCATGAACTTGGATAAAACCCAAGTGGGCCAATCGCTTGCTAGCAACACGGCAATAGGACTGCAATCTGGTACCTCTGTTGAAACCTCTGAATCCTCTCTATCCTCTTCAAGAACCAATATATCCGTCTCTAGCACTGCTCCTGATTCGTGGATCGTCATCTCGCGAAATCCTCCAACTGAATCCCTAGGTCACTCCTGCTCCTCTCCTCCATCTATAGTAGCACCACCTCCCACTGCCAACGTTGCGGTAAATAGTTTCCCTCCTCTTCTCTACGAGATAGCTGGCGAAAAACTTTCTGGATTGTCACGCACTGGAGTGGAGCTTTGCAGTAACAGAACGAGGGACGGACCTCTTGGGTCTGAATCCTCAAAACCAACTTGGCCTGGGTTTGGATCAGAAGCTGATATCGGGTTCGGCTCGCCTTTGGGGCCACTGGCGCCCTTACACTTGGAAAAGTTGAGTCGGTTTCAGGTCCTTCTACAAAAACTACCTTCGGTCGCCTCACCTCTTGAAGCTGGTTACTCCCTGACCCAACAAGGTCCCGCTCACCCCCCGTCCTTTCCCTACCTGCCCCCACTTGGGCTAGCCTCTCAAAACATCGGGCCACTACCTCTTCAATGAGCATTTCTTCATTTAAAATTTGAACATTCCGCTTCACTCGGTTATCAAGTGGCTCACGTGCCCCACTAGGAACCGTCCCATCTGATGCACCCAAGCGATCCACAGGAGAGGGTCGTTCAATGCATGCTACGTCACAAGAAGAAAATCCCTTGCAAAGATTCCCAGGAGACAAGAGCTCTTCCTCTTCTCCATCTATCTCCCCACTTCCGATCAACTCCCCATCATCCCCGTCCGTCACAATTTCCTTGCCTTTTAGCTTCCTCCTTATCTCTTCTGATACATTTTTCCCCGCCAAATCTTTCCAAATCCAGCTCTAGTTAGCGACAACAATCTCTGCACAAGCCATCAGCCTCTTTTTTTTTTCACAGGTAGGAACTTCGGCCACAGTGTCACTGTTAGCACCTCCTCTCCATCCACAATCTGCACTGCGGTTGGTGGATTTCCCTTCCACCTTACCTTGATGCGTATCCATTCAGTTGATTCTTTCACATGACTAGAGTTGTCCGTTTCCAAGTAGCTTCCATAGAGTTCTCCTATTTTTTTCCACTACTTTGGAGTTCCAGAGGTTCAGAGGCAAGATGTTTGATCAATGAGCTTGATAAACCATTGACAAATCTATCTTATAGTTCTTCCTTACCATGAACATCATTTAGAATATATAAATAAACTATTTACTATTTTTTGGATTTTTCCTAAAAAATTAAGAAAAAATTCATTTTTGACATAAATTATTCTTAGATAAATGAGTTACTAGATCATTGATAGATCCATGTTATAGCTCTTTCTTGCAATGAAAAGCAATTGATGGTGACTTAGTTTGTAGGATTTTTGATTCGTTGTAGTGGAGACCTAGGATCAAATCCTGCTGCCACCAAGGTTACGGAGGTTAAGGAGATGGAAATGGGGGATGGGGCACCCCCCCACCCTAGGGTTGTGTAGCCCCATGAAGCAAAAAAAAAAAATCATAATGTATAATTTTTTTATAATTCTCAGATTTTTCCAATTTTGGGGGAAATCCAAAGATCTAAGGCTCCGTTTGGTTTGTGGGATAGGGATGAGTAAAAGGGAATATTCCAAAATCGTGGGATGCCAGATCCCAAAATCGTGGGATGCCAGATCCCAAAATCGTGGAAACGGGGTCGCACCAAAACAGTGCGACCTTGGTGGAAAAACTCGAGAAATCACTGTTACCACTGTGCGGCGATCTGCTACCTCCCCTTCCCTGTTCGAACCCACAAGCAGAGCAGTGGCAGCGGCACCCCTCTCGGCCACTCCCTTCATCCCTCTCTTTCTTCACATCCTTAAAGTATTTTGGGATTTATATTTTCGGCTCCAAGGCCGGTTCCACCTAGGCCAACCAAGACTGGTTCTTCGGATCGGTTTGGGTAGGGTAAACTCCTAGACCTTGAAACCATCTTGGGTGAGGGTCGCTTCCAAAGACCTTACCCAATAACAGATTAGGTAGGGTTGGTTTGAGGTCAGTTCCATTCGGTTTCAGGTAGAACCAACCCATTTGTCAATGATACGAGGCAATTCCACCAGTTCCATGTGCCCACGCCTTTAGATACCGCTATGACAAAATATTATCAGGCATATCGTGTCAATATTTTGAACCCTGCCCCCAACACCCTCATGCACATAACCCAATGCAACGTATGGTGTCCCTATTTTAAGTTGAACCTGCCCAACCAAATATGCTTTTTGTATGTTGTAGTCAAATTGCTTGTGTGGTGCTTATTTGAAGTCAAAACAAAAACACAACACCACAGTATCAAACACCACCTCAGTAATCAAGGATATGTTACACCATTTCTCATTGCATTATAATATATTAGCACAATATCTCAGATATAGGCATATTTTGGCATCCAAAAACGATTTAAACCAGTTATAGGGTGATGTGTCAATACTCTGGGGCAAGAAATATGTCATCTGCCATTATTTGAGAAGATGGACCTGCAGCATCAACTCTACCAAGTAAATTGCGGAGCCCTGCATCTGCAATCTTAGCTATGAAATTTTCATCTACAAGAACATTGGATGTCTTGAAATCCTTATGTATCAAACGAGGACTCAAGGAATGAAGGTGAGCCAATCCTGCAGGATAATAAATGGAGGAGGATGCATCAATTGGCAAGCATTGTTTTAATAATTCAGTGTCCATGATAGCTGCATTTCAAGGACTTCCAGGTTACAACTCAATAAGTGGTATCCTTGCTACAAGGCAAGGATAAACCACTCTGATATTTTAGCTACTGATAGAGAGTTATCTTAGGAAATAGTAAGAGATTTAGGTTTTCAGGTAGTTGATAAATGCAGATAGACCAGATGATTTTTTTTGCAAAAAGAGGACTTACAAGTTGATGGAACTTTCATAATACAAAAAGAAAAAAAAAGGACTTTCTTGGGATGGGTGCTAACTATATCATTCAGCAAGTCAATGAGTCAGGCAGTTGCATTCTTGGTAATCTTAGAATTTCCATGCCAACTGCTAAGGTAAGGTTATGTGCTCTTCGGTCTGGTCACTCCTCTTAGGTTATGTTTAATAATATTCAATCCCACAAGGGAAGCTTACAAAAGAATGTTATGGGTCCCATTACAGATCTTTGTATACTTATCTTACCAAAGAAACAAAAATTAATACGAGCAAAGCCACCAATGCTCACTGATTTTGCAGAGGATCACCTTTGGCTGCCCCCATCGCTATTGAAAGCCTATGCTTGAACTCTAGCCTCTCACCAGAAACCTGACCTGTTCCTACAGAATAGGAAAAAAATTCTACAATTACGCAGCAAATAAAATATTGTAGGTGTAAGAGAAGATCACAGAATGCCTTATACAGAAATCATATGATGCAGATCATGTTTGCAACACGCAATAGCATGTAAGCTGTTATAATGTAGCTTACATTTTAAGGTGAAGAACCATAGAACATGTACCTGCACCACTAAAATTGCCATATCTATGTACTTGAGTAGTAAAGAGAGAGAGAGAGAGAGAGAGAGACAGAGACCGTATAGGTGACTAGAAACACTTCCATTGGGTATATATTCATAAATGAGCATTTGCTGATCATTTTCCTGGCAATAACCAAGAAGGCTGACAAGATTCCTATGCCGAATGGATGACAGAGACCGAACCTGAAAGGAAAGGCAATCTCTCAGTGAATTTATAGATAAAAATTTGTAAGTATACTGGAAGGTTAGAACAAATCCTTCATAAAAAGTGCATATGAAAGTCATAAAAATCAACCATGTCAGATATTTTGGATCATTTCGAGGTGTTGCATGGACATGGACTAAACAGATGGAGTGTTCGTGTTGGACATGCATTGAATTTTGATACTCCATTGATTTTTGAAGGGCATTTGTATATGACATTTTTCTTTTTTTTTCCCCTTTACGTCTTCAACAAAATGAACAGCCAATGTACACAATGAATGCCATTTTCCTATTAATCATTTAGACAGTCTGTTACTAATCTAAGGGCACATGCTATGCACATTTGCAAGTAAAGATATAAGCATTAACCTTATGATATGATACTCTGATTTAATTTTTATGATCCATACATAAACCAAGGCAAGTATCTGCATTACATAATATAGATAGGTTTATAATGCTAAAATTCAACAAAATATGGGCTATTTTAATAGTTTATACTTTTTCTATAAATGTGTCCATGAGTCCTTGTTCTATCATCTTGCCGAGTTAGATCTACTTATATGTGATACTTCTCAAGTTTCTTATACAGTAACTAGTAGCTGTAAGGAAAAGAAGTTGTATTACCTCCTCGAAAAATTCCTGACTAGGTGCACCTGATCGCTTTTTAATGGCTACAACCATTCCATCATGAAGCAAGCCCTTATAAACCTTCCCAAATTTTCCTTCTCCAATCAAATTCATATCACTAAAATCTTTTGTGGCTAAAGCCAATTCTTCCATTAGAAAACGCCTGGCTTCTCTTGAATCAGGTGGAAGAGGTCTTAAAGATAACTCAACCCTACTTGTTCTTCCCACTGCTAATCACCAGAGTTTAAAGAAAATGATGATCAACAAAACTGTAGTGGCAAGTCATAGAGTGCACTTAAATTCCATGATTTCTTTAGAAAGAATTCAAGCAGGCTACCTTGAACAGATTGATCAGAGGAACCAGTTTCAGAAGGCCTTGAAATGCTCCTATTTTGGGATAAGCAGAACCATAGGAATACAATTACCATTCCCACCAAAGCCACAGCTCCTGCAGCACCTCCAAGTAATGCTGCAAGAGTCCTTGACATTTGGTATGCGAAACACTTCAGCTATAAGGAACAGTAGTCTTGATATATTCTCAGTACATGAATTCCTATACATTGAATCTGAAATAGAGGATATTGCCTGAAATAAGCAGAAGAGATGGGACATGGAACAATAATACAAAGAAAATTGGATATAAGGAGCAAGGAGCAGTAAAAGCCAATAGAACATGTTTGTGTATGTTTAATTCATAAAGGCCTTCCTATATAATGGGAGTAAACCATACAGAAGACAGTATATTGACATACCCCATAAATAAAATTCTTATTGAAGATTTAGAAGATTGGCAGATAAAAAAAGAAAAATTCTGGTTTCACATGTTTGCAAGATTTATTCACCATTGTCTACCTGGAAATATAGTAAACATGTTTTATCATCTCTTATATGGGGTGTGCTACTGCAGAAATCGAAATCTACAGCGCAAGTCAAGACCAAATGATAACCCTAAATCAAAATCAAAGGAATATAATACGCTTAACTTTGAAATGATGAAAAATCCTACCGTGAAAAAAGTTCAATGAGCAACTTTTATTTATTTATTTACTTTTCCTGTGTATAAATTGGCGGCATGAAATGGAATTCTGGAATCATTAGATTAACAGAATGTACTACTCTATAGGCTAAATTCCATTACTTTAACTTTAAGGTAACAATGTTGTTGATCCACGGATAAACGAAATTGGACTAAAATTCAATATATGTTGGATTCCATTCTAAACTACAATTCACTTAGCGGGGCAATGTGTGGAATGGGTTGGTCTTGAATGTCATCTCATCTCTTAGAGTTCAGATTATGACTTTCATACCTGCAGTCTCTTACCATGCAAAGACAACCAGATCTTTAAGAAGCTCTGCTTCATTCGTTGATGACGACTCAATCAGTTTTCCAAGTATCATCAATACCAAAATCAAAATCCACCCACATTCCCATGTTGAATCCTCTCCAGTAGATCCAAACAGACCCGAGGCCAAACAAGAAATGAAGAAACCAAACTAAGCACAGACCAGAAATGGATCTCGACGTCCAAAACAATCACACCCACTTGTGATTACGACCAATCTGTATACAACCCAATTGAAAGAAAAAAAAAAGTAAGAAAGAACCCGAGTTGCTGGCTTCGAATTGATCAAACAGCTTCCGGGATATTAATGTATTAAAGCCCCCTCATGGCAAAAGCATCGCGACTATACTTTGAATAATTCAATTGAAAACCTTTCTTTATAATCTGAATCGTTGAATACTGACAATGCCGACAGACAGTGACATCGCGCCGACACACACACACGATCAGGGATTACCACCTTAAATGTCCACTAATTCAAATAGATAGGAAAAGGGATTTACTCTTCCGATGTTCCAAGTAGAACCTATGCAAGGAAGAAAAAACTGAAATTGAAGATTGAGAAGGAGAAAGAAATGTAGAAGGGAAAAAATGGCCTCACAAAGAATGAAGAAAAGAAGGAGATTGAAAATGTTTATCGTTTTTATGGGCTGTAAAGCAGTTCAATTGTTTGTCTGGTACTGCAACTTGGAGGATTTTCGGGTTTTTATTTTTAATCCATGGTCCAACCTGTAACAGACTAGCAGTATTCATGAAAGAATAATAAATAACGAAAACGAATTTAATAAAAAATAAATAAATTTTGGTACTAGAGAGAGAGAGAGTTTTTCTTTTTTTTCTCTACCAGCCAGCTATGTTGACGTTGCTCCTACAGTCTTTACCGGGAGATATGAAGAAATCAAATAAGAAATAATAAATAAATAAGGGAATACAACGGCTACCTTTCTTCTCATTTTCTTTATTGCTTTCTTCCGAGCCTTGGATTCTTGTCCCTTCAAGTTGCCAGCTAGCTCTCTGATAAAGTCTCCTGCTGGTGCTGCTGGTTGTGCTTATGGCGGAGAGAGAGACGTGGTTTCGAATCCGCACCCGTCAGGATTGTGGGGTAGGTTTTGGGGTTGTGACTTGTGAGGTTTGGCCGGTTTAGGGAATGGCCTAGGTAGCCACCGCTGTGTGTAAAACTGTGAGAAACAAAGGCGTTGTTTGGTATTTGGTATAGTGGTGTTTTTTTTTATATCTTTTGAAGGATTATACAACCCATAATGCCCAGCCTGGCAGCTTAGGTGCAGGTGGGATTTGATTCCAAGTCTCCATTGTGATCAACAGAAAATCTTAACAACATGTGGTATATTGTGCATCCGCTTCAAGTTTGTGTAGACAGGAGTGAAGCCAATAAATATTCTTTAGGGGGCCAAAATCTAAAATGAATTAGGGAAAAATGGTGAATAAAAACTGTGAGAAACAAAGGCGTTGTTTGGTATTTGGTATCGTGGTGTTTTTTTGATATCTTTAGAAGGATTACACAACCCATAATGCCCAGCCTGGCAGCCTAGGTGCAGGTGGGATTTGATTCCAAGTCTCCATTGTGATCAACAGAAAACCTTATCAACCAACTGATTGGCACCTTGTATTTGGTATCCTAGTATTGTGCATCTACTTCAAGTTTGTGTAGACAGGAGTGAAGCCAATAAATATTCTTTAGGGGGCCAAAATCTAAAATGAATTAGGGAAAAATGGTGAATAAAAACTGTGAGAAACAAAGGCGTTGTTTGGTATTTGGTATCGTGGTGTTTTTTTTTTTATATCTTTTGAAGGATTACACAACCCATAATGCCCAGCCTGGCAGCCTAGGTGCAGGTGGGATTTGATTCCAAGTCTCCATTGTGATCAACAGAAAACCTTATCAACCAACTGATTGGCACCTTGTATTTGGTATCCTAGTATTGTGCATCTACTTCAAGTTTGTGTAGACAGGAGTGAAGCCCATAAATATTCTTTAGGGGGCCAAAATCTAAAATGAATTAGGGAGAAATGGCGAATAAATGTAAATGGGCCCATAGTGAGGGCCAACCATTGGATTGGCGAGTGAGGGAGGGAGGATTTACATGAAAAATTGTACTAATAGTGGTGGATAGCCATCTTGGCTCCGCCCTTGTGTCATAGGTGACTCCTTCGTCATGCCATCAAACACCTACCGAGAGCCATCAGAGTGCCAACCGCGTGTCTTCATGGTGTCAACATGTGTGTCATGGGTGGACTTTGCATGTATTTTGTAAGGGGGGACCGCCAATGGCGTTATTGCAATTACATAGTATGATTTTTCATCCTTTTGATGTTTCATATTGTCACTCCCCCAAAAGCTTAACGTATTCTTTGAGGGGAGGTAGGTAGTCGAGTGAGTCATGAGCATGTAAAGGTTAAGCATAAGATCCCCTCGACACTGAACAGTGTGCTTATGCTTGCCATCCATTAATGCAATACAATTTGCCTTTTATCTAATTCGTGTGTCATCTTTGTTGCATTTTCTTGTGTTGTTACTTGTTGCCTAGGCTTACTCATCGCATTCGAGTGCTGCACGGAGTCCCAACGACTACCCCATGACACTTGTGCATAGATACCACGTAGGAAATTATGCTTTAATAGTCAAAAAACATATTTAGTTAGGCTGTTTTAAGTGATGAATGAGCTAAAATGGAAACACCTTGAAATCCACATAAGTCAAAACCGCTCAAAACATATGACCATGTTTTAATTACTTGAAATTAAGTTTGAAAGTTTTATCATGCATCGCTCATACATATCAACAACCCACGTTTGCTACGACAGTGTCATAACCCTGTGCTGAAACAATTATCAATTTATCAATTTATCATGGCCATAAAGCTTTTAATTTGTTATCAATTTATCATGGCCATACTTTAAATTAGATGAATGATTTCTTGGTAGAGCCACTGGAATATATCTAAAGCCATGAGTCTGTTTTAGCCCTGTGCTATACAGTATCATAGCAAAAGTGAACTCCATACATACATATTGTATCAGGGACACACTCATACATTAAATAAGGGGATTTTAGGGGTTTGACCCCTTCCAAGAGGTAGACATGCTTAAGACCCACCCTAACCTATTCTTGAAAAAAATTAAAAGAGTTGAGCATAAGTTCAAAATACCGATTCGCCCCTTGTCTCGTATTTAAATGTATTAATACTTTGAACCTAAGGCTCAGTTTGGAAGAAGTATAAATACAAATATGTATAATACAAATATATATAAAATAATATAAAATATAAGGTTTTGTACTTTAGATATTTGTATTTGCACTCCTTCCAAACTGAGCCCAAGGAGCTACAATGGCCATTTTTTTTTCTTTTCTAAGATAAAGGTAATTGGGCAATGGGAAATTGGGTATAGCAGATTCAGACCTTTCCATCTATTGCCTTCATGGTGTATTGTTTTCTACCCAAAAAAGGTGCATTGTTAGTTTCTTTCTTTCTTTTTCTATTTGATGATCCCATCTTTTTCATAATTTATTGTAATATTTTTGGTTGCTGCAATGTCTAATGAAATGGACTGGGCCCAAATCAATGTGTCAATTTTGTTTAAAGATGGACCTTTGCATCTCTTGCCTTCATGGACTATTGTTTTCTACCAAAAAAATACATTATTTAGTTTCTTTTTCTTTTTTTTTTCTTAGATGATGCCATCTTTTCACAAATTATTGTAATATTTTGTTTGGTTGCTGCAATGTCTATGCAATGGACTGGGCCCAAATCAATGTGTTCATTTAGTTTAAAGATAGCCCACACCTGAGTGCAAAAAACAGCATGAATAAAGGGCCACTACCCAATTATGATCCCAGCCCAGCTATAAAGGGTTTTAGGTGGAGTATATTGAATAGCCAATATGGACCTATTCTTTGACATGAAAAATAATAAAGAAAGAGAAAGTTGAGGGTAAAACTTTCCCTCGATTTTTCTGTCTATCAACCCAAGCATAACTCAAGGTATCCTATGTTTCTAATTCTAAAGGTCTTCTAATGCTAAAAATATGATTAAGTATGACCTGATCCATCCTACTTTTGAACTATGATTTCCTTATCTGTTCAATTAGGCAGCTTCCCTACACAACCAACTCTATTTCTGTAAATCATTCACCATGCAGAGGACCCTCTGGATTGAATACATGTTTAATCTTGTAATTCACATCAATGCTATTTTCCCACCTTGTATTGATAAGGGGCATTACCCAATGGAGCATTGATGGAGAGAGAGAGAGAGAATAACAGAAATGGAAATGAGAGATAAAAAAAGGTAAGATGAAGGGTTGTAAAGTTGTAATCACATCGTCCATGAAACAGTTGGCCTAACTTAAAGACAACGATCAGATGTGAAGAGTCGCACCAACCTACTCGTGCGACATGCTAGGCCATTCTAAGGATCCGAAGCAATTGGTGGACCTTTTGTACAACTCTAGTGTCCTCCACCTCTCCTATCAACCATTGACAGATGGGTCCATGGCCCACCATCCACGTGAATAGGACGTTCTTGCAGGTCCAATACAGGAACGAAGCAAAAACACAAGCCCGTATTGTGAACCTTTATGCATGTGGCAGCTTAGATAGTGGGCCCCCATTTTTCACTATTCCCCCCCTCTCTCTCTCTCTCTTTCTACACACACATGGGCCATTGATTTGAGGCAAAAAAATGAAAATGTTCCTTTTGCCTGTTTGATCTATCTTAATTTTGGAAGTATGCCTCAGTTAAATCAGGCTAGTCTTATCGAGAATTGCCACACCGAAGATAGGCCAACTCTGGTGTAGCGTGTAGAGAGGTATTGACCCACATCTACATGAATGTTTTTTGTTTTCCTTGTTTCTCTGAAAAGCATTTTATCAGTAGAAAAGCCATCCACAAATGCGTTCTTGGAATCTTGGGTATATATGTATTATCTTAAAACAAAGTGATAAATCAATGCGCAGGCCCATCTACCCGTTTTCTTGATATTAAATGGATTTGGGTCCAAAACATAAAAGAAGAAAGGAGAACAGAATGGATGTATCTTTTGGATTCAAATTCTAACTCGACCCATTGGAGCTGGAGGGATTCCATCTGATTATGATGGCTCTACCATTTAGGATCCGTGTACTGCTTAGGTGGATTCAATTTGGATCAATATTCATAACCCATCATGGATAGTTCCAGTGGTTTTAGATTCACACCCCGACCATGGGTGGGCCAGTTGTTCTTTCCTATAGCTGACAATTTTATGCATGGGCTGTCCTGGTTACCGGGTCACAGGACCCGTTATTGCAGTCTGGGGCCCAGTAACCTGACATGCCCAATATTAGGTCCCCATCAGGTCTACCCACCCTCTCAAAACCCCGGACAGCGGACAGCCGTTTTTGTGACAAAGGTCCTTTTGATTTTTGAAGTTTTGATGTGTCGCCCAAGAGAAGGATTCGCTTTTGGTTGCAGTGCAATTTTATTTGCATTAGTACAAATTTATGGGAGTGTAAATGATGAGAATTCAAATTTTGGTTTAATTTTATTTTGGATTTTTACTTTATTCAGCTTTAGGTCTTATTTTACTTCATTTTTACTGCAATCCTACAAAATAAAAAAAAAATGAAACAAAAATAAATCAAAATTTACACGCAAATTATTTATACTACCATAATTTTACATTAGTGCAAATAAATTTGCACCGCAACCAAATGCAGTGATCCTGATTTATGCATCACTTTTGTTTTGGAGCTACCAGATAGTTTATTCTCCACTGCAGCGTCCAGAAATTTGCATCAGAAACAAACATTTCAGATTAGATTAAATCTTAGGCTGATGCTTTGTCAGAAGTAATCTTATGATGGGGGCCATTACGTACTGGGTCGTTACGGGCCCAAGACGGTGTTCTGGTCCAGTGTTCCTAAGCCCAAGTTGTGGCCACTTCTAAAACAGATGAAGCAAAAGAAGAACCTAAAATGGAAATGTAGTCAATTTCTTTCTACCAACTTTTACCCTTATGTATAGAAAGCTTTCACATGGAACTAACAGTTGCATAGGGTAGGTTTGTCTTTAAGTTGTCCACAATCAAGAGGAGAGGGGGCATTCTGCACTCGATTTATCGGTAAACCGAACTGGTGTTATCGGTTTCTGAAGCCGATCGGTTAATCGATTGACCGGTTCAGTTAATCATTAGTTCAGTTTGTTGGTTTTTCGATTTTTTATTATTCATAATATATATTGTAGAAAAATATATAAATATATAATAAAACATTAGAAATATATAAAATTTTATATTTTATATTTTAAATAATAAATAATATATTATATATTATATATATTTATATATATAATGCATATTTATTTATTTATTTATAATGTATAAAAAATAAAAAATATAATATATATATAATATAATATAATATACATAAAATATAGGATAAAATACAAAAACCTCCATTCTGTCACTTTCCCAGACGGAAAATGTTAGATTGATGCACCAGTACCCATTCTACCCTTTTATAAATTATTTTACATACAAAATTATCGAAATGACCCTATTTTAACTCAACAAAAAACGTTAGAAGATGACCGTTAAAGGAGGTTTTTGTCAAATTAAAACAGGATTATTTCAGTAATTTTGTATATAAAATAATTTATAAAAAGGTAGAATGGGCATTTGGAAAAACTGGTGCATCAATCTAACATTTTCTGTCTGAGAAGGTGATGGAAGGGAGTTTTTTGTCGAGTTTATCAAAATTTTAGGGGAAGTATTTGTTAAAATGAAACTATAAGGGTGATTTTTATGATTGTCAAAAACTTCAGGGGAGTTTTTTGTACTTTACCCCAATATATATATATAGGTCAATTCGGTTAACTACCAATTTTCTATTTTGATTAACTGGTTGGTTCGATTAACTGAATTTTTGGTTCAATTTTGATCAGTAACTGCCGATTTTCTATTTCGGCACACCCCTAACAAGAACCTTTCTCCATTTACATGGAACCATGACTACAAATTGCCAACTGACCAACATAAATCCCTCTGAAATAATAACGTAGATGGATGTCAGTTGCTCTCCCAGCTTCTCTTGTCATAGGTTCTGTATTGTTAAGAGCCCGTTTGAGAGGGTTTCTGCATTTGAGATGCATTGTGCTAATTGAAATATAGTGGTTGAGCATCCGTGTTCCGAAATAGCTATTCAGAGTAACTTTATATTTGAACAATGGTTTGGGTGTTCGGAAAGCCCGTGTTAGCTTTCTAAAATTTTTACCAAACACAGCTTCTGGTGTTCCCGTATGAAGCCCAACTCAGAACATCAGAAGCTACATCCCAAAAACCCTCACAAACGGGCATCAGATGCATAGCTTAAGCTTTTTCTTTCTAGTGGTTCATTGGATCATGAATTGGGAAAATCTATGATACGGGAAGAACTTTGACCAATCAAAGCACACGCTTGTTAATTTTGATGGAAGCCACCCGATTGATTACCTGTTTTATGATACCAGTTCATTGACTGTAAGCTTTTCCGGTATCATAGTCGAACCCTCCCTCATAAATTAAGCAATCCACATTTTCTAGTTCTTACCATCTAGAGAATCGTTCGATGTGAATGGTCATTAATGGGCTGGGTCAGGGTTAAATAAGTAAAGATTTAAGCCCAACTTCCCTAAATTCTAATGGGCTTGGTTTATATTAGCCTTCAGCCCTGCAATTAAGAAAAAAAAACCTGCCATTTGTTAGGTCCTTCGTGGCTTTTAGCACGTGGAACAAATTGCCTTCTTCCATTATTCTTCTTCTGATGATGATGACAAGACGACGGTGGTTGCTCCATTATTCTTCTTCTGATGATGATGACAAGACGACGACGGTGGTTGCTGATAAAATCACAATTAGATATGCATAAAACCTTTCTCAATAGTAGGAGTGATTCTAACATTTAAACAAACAAGGATTAGCAGAATGCAATATGCAATGGCTATTCAGCAGGATGTGGAATCAATGATAATGTTCCACACTAATAATAAACAGATGGTTTTCAAAATCGGATCAGATCAGATGGTTGGACTTAAAAAACTGGGAATTGGTCAGGTGATCAATTCCATTTTCCTTAAAAATTGGATTTTTCCCCAAAATCATTGATTTTGATTAGCAAATCGATGAATTGGACAGTTAATCGTTTGAACCATCTGAACGGTTTTAATCATTTTTTATTTTTTTTTGTTTTCTTGTCAGAAAGGACCAAATATTCGGTTCAAACGGTCAGACAGTTTGACCCGATAATCAGACCCCTGACCATTTTGATCACCGGGTCGGTTTTAAAAACCATGAATTTCACAGCCCACTTCGCTAAACACATAGAAGCCTTCGGAATCTTAATATTTTGTGTTTAGGTGAGCTTGAAAACCGATAATACGATACAGAACCATAGCCCATATATTTATTACTGGCGTCGAACATTATCAAGGACAAGTTAAAATACTTCTGGGCACCTTATTTCAAAACGCCTTGAGGCCCATACCTTAGCTCTCATCAAAAGCCCAATTACCATCTTGAAACCTTGCCTGTGAAGTGTGAAAGTTCAGACTTAACGAAAGCATGAGAAGCTAAGGGGGAGAGGTGGCCAGGTGGGTTGGGAGACTGGCAATTGCAGCCACATAATTCCAAATTCCAATAAATGCTCCACACAATATCTAACACATGTGCAAGACCAAGTACAACACTTCCCATTGTTTCCTTATCTTACTTTCACTCTCTTTTTTTGGTCTTCATACCTAATGGACTCATCATGCCCAACTGCTGATGAGTGATGACCCTACCTATGGCTTACGTTTCTCTGGATTGCATTACACATTACACAAGAAGAGTTATTAGTTATTACTTAATACTTGCTACAAAACAAGGCAAGAGGATGGAGAGAATCAAAAAGTAAACAAGGAAAGCATTAAGATCAATTTCAAGTTACATTACAGACCCACTGAAATCCTCTCGTTTCAAAGTCATTATTAACACATAATGATTCTTTTCTTTTTCTTTTCAGTTTAACAAATTCAAATTCTGAAGGAATCCAGACACCCGTGCTTGAAAATACAACCCTGCTAAGCTTGCAACATTAGCAGTAGATAGAGTGGCATGATATAAATCATTTAGCTTCTATTCTGAAAGGTTCCCAATGGGGAGTTTTTCTACTGAAAAAGATGCCCACCGCCCTTGAATCTAAAATATTGAGGGCCTTTTCAGATTTGATGCATCTTGGAGTCTTGTATTGATTTACAGAGGACCCCTGAGAAACACAGAAATCCATCAGTGCATCAAATGTCCCATGTTTCACCACCCTTATCTCCAATGGCCCGATGGACTTGTCTTTGCTTCTACATCTTCTATAGACAGAATCAAGCGACTGTTCTACTGTGGAGCAGCATTCCTCCATTATTCTAGTTTCCAGCTCCGGCAAATCACCATTTCCTCTCATCTTTAGTTCCCAGAACAGCACATAGTGTCCAGGAATCGAACAAGTGTCTGCGTAGCTAGTATACTCCGTCAGCAGGAAGCCCAATGGCTCAAGAAGGAGCTTAGCTTTTGTTACGGCCTTCAGGAGGTCTTCTTCATTGGTTTTGTCCGTGTCAATGCTTAAAACAACGTTCCGTCGATGTACAAACCGGAATTGTGGTGCATTGTTGTGGAATCCAGTCACCATTAGAATGTCTCCAACTCTGTATCTGTATAGGCCTGAGCAGAGGATAAACAGAGACAAAATTACACTAGTACTCCTTTGAAATTATGACTAAAGAAATCCATTGTTGTTTCAGTCTTGGTCAGACTTCAATGCGCTTGACCAAGTGAAATGGGGCGTCCAAGGGAACACCAATCTGTAGCTCAGAATCTGAGCATGGCAGAAGGTTAGTTAACTCCAGTGACTTAGCTCCAATTAACTAACAATTGTGGACGCCCAATCCCAAGCCATTGTTGTTTCAGTCTTAGTCAGACTTGAATGTGTTTGTCCAAGTGAAATGGGGCTGACAAGGGAACACCAATCTGTAGCTCAGAACCTGAGCATGGCAGAAGGTTAGTTAACTCCAGTGAATTTACTCCAGTTAACTAAGAATTGTGGATGTCCAATCCCAACCCATTGTTGTTTCAGTCTTAGTCAGACTTAAATGTGTTTGTCCAAGTGAAATGGGGATGACAAGGGAACACCAATCGGTAGCTCAGATCCTGAGCACTGGCAGAAGATTAGTTAGTTCCACTGAATTTACTCCAGTTAACTACTGTGGATGCCCAAGCCACGAGAAACTGGAGACTAAAAAATAAATAAACTAAAATTGGTCAAAGCCCAATGACTGAATAAGTGGTCCAATGCCAGCCAATTGACTCTCGTTATCTAATATGAGATTTGTGGAATTCCTTAAGAAATTTCCCTCAACCTACTGTTTCTTATTTTCTATAAAGCCAAGCATAACCTTAGGTATACACTACAGATACCTCAAAAATGTGATATAAATATTGGGGTGCTTATAGTTGACTGGTCCCAAGGACAGGGTTTTCAGAATATTGTCTGCATTCTGCAGATGCCTAAGTGATAAAATTAATTCTGAATCCGACAAATAGAGAAAAAACTGTGTTTGTTTAAATATGGATAGCTTTATGTGGATATGGATATAGGTCACTAGATCAGATTGCAGTAACAGATAGGCTTTGGCTTTGACTTTTGAGAAAATCAAAATCTGTCAACCAACAGCAAAGACTGAACAACTAAACAAGGCTATGGATCATGCATGAGAACATAATCACAAAAACAGGAAGTGAATCAAATTTATTCAAGAACAAAAGAAGAAAACAAACAATTGAGACATGTAGGTCAGATGTGATCAAGAAGGAAAACCTCACCTGTAAATGTAGTGACAACAAGTTCATAATAGTGACCGACCTTCACTTGGACAAGATCAACCGCTTCTTGTTCTTGTTCTTCCCCTTCTTCTTGACCCTCCTTGTTTAAGCAATTCGGTTCAGAATCCCCATTGCACCGGACACCATGGTTCAGTTCTTCATGATTTTTCTCTACAGGGAGAAACTCAAAGTAGGCCATGTTGGGGAGAAGGGTGTAGGAGACACTGGATGGGTCGCTTAGGGGCTTGAGATTGATCCCAAAATAGCACTCGGATGAAGCATACATTGTTGAAACAAGAGGCAGCCCTCCGCTGTAGAAATCAAGGGTTGGAATATACTGAGCCATGGACCCTGTAACTATGACATCTACGTACTTCGTTCTAGGCCATAGCCTCCTAATTATCTCTTCCCATGATTTCCCATTGCACTCAGATTCAATCAGATGGGCCAGTTCTGAATTGGGATGCCTAAGGATGCCAGATACAGCGTTTTGGCAACCTGGGTCTGTTATCCAATCACTAACATGGCCCATCCTTATGTTAGAACACATCTCTTGCCAATAATCCTCCAAGAACTTGATTGCCCGTAGGAAGGCAGATGCAAAAACTGCACCAACCCTAAGGACCTCATCTCGCTGTACCAGACCACAAAGTAATTGGCAGTACATGCTTTGTTTACTATCTGAACACAAGATGGTTTCATCTGGGCTGGTATAGACATTAAACCTGTTGAAGGGACGGTTTCTGAAGTTACTGCTCTTATAATAGCTGGTTAGTACTGGTCTAGCCATCAAACCAGCGGGAGTGCTGATTTCTGGTTTGATAAACAGGAGGTACATCCCTTTCCCTTGGTCCAGACCATCGACATACCTGATAGTATAACAGATTTAACATATATTATAAAGAATGAACATGAAGCATCTCACTGTTATATTCATATTTAAGCAAGACTAGATTTGAAACAAAAATTAAAAGAAGCATCTCACTGGTTCATCACTGGCACCAAGAGGTTATATAAGAAGGTCTTCCTGTCCATGTCTTCTGCAGTGGATGGCATCATTTTTGGTAGACCTCCTGAAGTTCCTGAGCTGCAGACATGGAAAGAAGTTTTAGATGATGGAGCTTTGAGCTTGGAGGAGTGAAATAAAAAAAAAAAAGGAAAGAAAACAGAAAGAGTTGGGCGACTAATACCTCGTGAGGAGCTCTGTGATTGGTTGTGCTGAGATGATCTGCGATGCTTCCCCATTAGCTATATGCTCAATGTAAGGCTTGATATCTTCATAAACCACAATGGGGATTTTCTTCTTGAATTGCTCCTTATCAGAGCTGCCTCCAAGGAAGCCGTTTAGATACTCTGTGTCTGCATTTTGAGTCAATATCTCCTGGAGTACCTGTTGTTGTACTTCATCCGCGTTTGTTGTTAGTTCCTCCACAAGCTTCAAACTACCTTCTCTATCATTAGGATCACAGTTTAGCAACATCCTCGACAAATTGTGAAGATCAATTATCAACAGGCTACAAGTTTAAGTTCGAACTAGTAAATATCTTTGGCCATAACTGCCCTTAAATACAAACTGAAAGCACACCCTTCAATCATACACGACTATTGAATACTACAGGAACGGTAGCCTCTCTGACTCCTACACTGAACAAACAAACAGCTTCATTAGCTAAAAGCCTGAAAAAAACAAACATAAGATGCTTCAAGGACATTATAAGAAAGAATGACAGGAACCACCCACCAAGTACACTGCTCACTGCTCCTGTTATCGGGTTCACCTTCGTATTTAAAACATTTGAACCCCCACCCCCACCCCACCCTCTCTCTCTCTCTCTCTCTGGGTTTCTGTTTCTTGGTAGCTGCTGACCAGAGTGGCAGATGAGGAACTGATTAAATAACTGACTTTGAAGGGGATTTTGGGAGTTGCTGCTTTTAAAATAAAAAATAACCGAGAAAGCTGAAGGAAATGTAGGGGAAGTAGAGGCTATGGAGGTCCTACACACGTGGACTTGTCTGGTAAGTTCTGGATAGGTGCATCTGTTGTAGGTCAATAAACTAGTAATACTTCAATAATATAAATACGACATACAATAAAACTAGCTACACAATGAAAAGTTAAAAACTGAAAACTTGAAAAGAGATTGTAGAGCTTCAACCCAAGCAGAAAGATTATTAAAGCAAATAAAACTCATGAGTAATGTAATCCTAGGCGGCAATTTATATTTCAACAATAAATGCTAATGCCTCAAAGTTCCAACATAGCTAGAAGTAGGGGGAATGGGGTGAGAATGGGATGATAAATAAATCAATAACCAATTAAAGATTAATTCGAGTACTCTGGACTGAGTTGGATAATGCAATCAACTTGACAATCCATGGAGGATCTCCCCTTCACTAATCCCTACAGATCGTGAAGTATGCAGGACTCAGGAAGATGATGACTTCCTGGTTTTAGCAGAGTTTCTACTTTCTAGGTGGCACTGTGGCAATACCCATGAGATGCAGAACAGAGAGGGATTTGTTGGGTACGGGTAAAAACTTGAATTAAAGAGAGATAGTAAGTAGCTCTTCTCTACAGTTGTGCATGTCACCATCTTGGTCTCATGGGTTCATTCAATCACTAGTTGCACGTATAACCAAATTGCGTGAGCTGTGAATCCAATGGTGATGTACTGTAATATTCTAATGTATACTCTGTTTCGGTTGTCAAACTGGCTCTGTTTTTAATCATTAATTAAGCTCTCAAAGCATGACTTGGATGTCGATGCAACTATCCATCAAATTGCGTTGTAAATGATGCAACTGATTTAACACTAAACTGACAAGTTCCCCACCTATCAACCTCATTAAAATTCAACAAGTTCCATTAGAAATGATCCAAATAAAATCAATATTATCACTTTCTGTTCCTGCAAAGAAAATAAGAAAGAAAGAAACCAAACATGGTTGGTCATAAATCATTTATTGTTCAAGGACCCCTTCAATTGAACTATCCAAATTGTGAAGGAGACAAACCGAACTGATTTATTTCAATGGATTCAAACTGGAGCATCGCAATAACACCATGTTGGGTATGAATTTCAAGACAACGAGTCAAGAAAATTGTTTGCTTGCATTTGACCAACGGCGCTATACAACAAAGGGATTTCAATTTGAGGATTTGAAGAATGGGACCCTGGTAGAAGTGCTGTTATATATCAGTAAATTATTGGCATTTCCCAGACAATTAGGCCATACCCCACAATATGAAACTTCAACGTCTAATGAAACCCACCATTTTAGATTCCGCCCATCTTTCAGAAAATCCAAAATCCCACTGGAAACAACATGAAAATATTACCCGAGCCTCGTTATCTACAGTTTCTTCTCAGCCAAGAGGAAAGAAACGAATCCTTTAATGCTCATTTGGGTCAAACTAGCACTAAATTGAATATATTTTTCGTTTTCAATCAAGAAACTATATTTTTTTTTTCGAATGTTGCTTCTATGAAATAAAAGAGAGTAGTCTAAATAAATGAGAAAAAAATTGGTTTTGGGCAATGGATAACCGAAGCAACAAAACAAAATAACAAATTGCTACTCCCTTTCCCTTTCCCACACAGGAAAATATCATCACCAAAGTGAAAAGGAGGTAAGAAAAAAAACAAGAAATGCTTCTCTGCAAGTGTGGGAGACGTGCATAATCATATTCATATAGATTGGTGAAGCCGAACGAGCAATTACGAGGCTCGATTTGGAAGGCAGAGGCAATAATAAATGAAGGCCGTAAGTGACAGCCTAGCGCCACTCATATCTTACTCGCCCAAGGCTGTGATAGTGCAACAACATAAACCAGGTAAGTTGCACAGGAGACAGTCCAAGTCAAAGGTGGTACAAATTTTCCCGTGTTAGCCCTGCTTTAAAAGATGATTATGAATTATCTTCTACCATTTATATTTCTTTCAACAAAGATAAGGGGATCTGCTGGATATGTTGTTGCAGATTTTCGGGTTAAATACAAAATACTTATAGAGAGGGTGTCATATTAGAGACAGGGCTCACTTGAAATCCGCAGGAGTAAAGGAGTAAAACCAGGAGAGAGAGAGAGAGAGAGAGAGAGAGAGGAGTCAAATAGTCCTGAAGACCAGTAGACTATTGAGCACTGCTAGGGACCCAACTTCCAAGGCTTTGGGGAACATCTGATGGGTATGGATACCAAAGGACTAACTGAAAATGATGGCCCTCAGAGCTGGCTTTGCATTTTCCGTATCTAAATATAGAGGATGTTTTGTCATCGTGTTCATTGCAGTTTGCAGGTAACAATGGTATTTCTATTTCAGTTACTTTAGGTACCGTTTGGTATAAACTTTGCTTTTTTACAATGCAGCACTTCAAGGATGACTTTTGTGCTGAAGCCTGAAGGCGGCTCTTTCCCGTTTCTTTGACAGTGTAGAAATCGCTTCTGCCTTCTGATGATGATGAGTTTTGGACTTTGGTGAATCTCACATACCCAAAAGTAATTTTCATTTTCTTTGCCACTGTGGGTTTGCCAAAAGCATTTGTATCTGAATATTATATACTTGAACTTGTATCCCGTTCATGGGGATAGAACAAGCACAGGAGTATTTAGCCAATTCCATATACCATGTTTTTCTAAATTGAATCTGAATATTATGCAGTTTACAGGTTTGAAGAATTGATTTTCTCACATCATTATTTGTATTTCCACAACGTGAGTCTCTCTCTCTCTCTCAGAAATTGCTAAAAGACTAAAGACAAAGAGTTCATTTATAGTACGACTTGGATAATTAAAGGGTGTGCTGACTTTGGGCCTCGGAAAACCTTCTATCTGTATCCATGCAGAGAGAGAGAGAGAGAGAAGGAGCATGTGAGAAGGATAAATGAGATTAAGTTGCATTTAATTCACATATGTATATTGTAGGATAAATGAGATAACTTCTTTAATGCCTGGGAGTGTAACGCTGTCTCTGCTACCTCTGGCACCGGCAAAGGCCCGGAAAGAGAGGTGCAGGGAAATGGCTAGAGAGCTACACTGCCTTTGAATTGGAGATATACATGGTGGGCCCCCACCCTAAAATCTAAACCTGTCCCCAATAAAACCCACAACCCCTCAGAACCCTAGAAAAACCTCTACTCCAGTTACCATCAACTTCCAATTAATTATAAGATTTAAGGGTGCAGGCGCACAAGCACGAGGAAGAACATATCAGAGACCCAGTTAGGTCTAAATCTAAGTTGTTACTCCCAAAGCCCTAAAATAGAAAAACCTTTACCTTGTCTTTAATCAGAACTTTGTAATCCCGAAATCCTAGACAGAAAGATACTTGAAGATGCTTCAATAAAAGCCAAAAAGTTCCAATAAATATATAGTTTGATGCCCCAGGAAGATTCTTGGGTATTTCACTTGTGCCACTTGTAAAAACCCATAGACCTCAATCTCCAGCTCCAGGCCCTCTAACAGTAGCTAGAGATATAGAGCATTTAAAGAGTGTAAAATATAAAAATTTCGCTTAAAGTTTTTGACAATCATAAAAACTTTCTCCGTAGTTTCGTTTTAATAAAAATCTCCCTTAAATTATTAGAAAACTCGACAAAAGCATTCTTTCTGTCATTTGACCCAAACAGAAAATGTTTAACTGATTAATAAAGTTTTTCTAAATACCCGTTTTATCCTTTTCTAAAATGGGTACTATAATACTAACCAGTGAGCGGCGAAGAACGAATTATGCCAATCAATAATAGTCGCCAATGACAGTGAAGAACGGTATAAATCGAAGATTATGAAGCCATTAATCTCATCGTTTGTTAAAATCCTCTCTCTCTCTCTGATTCCATTTTTTGAACTTATAGAGAGAAAAATCTCTGATAAGAATAGGCTCTAATTATACAAATTTAGATTTTGGAGCACTACTTTTCACGGGAATAGATTGTACGCTATACCCACAATGGTTGTCATTTTTAATCACCTTAAAACTTCTATCCTTTTTCATCACTAATTTGATTTTCGATCTTCACTCCATCTCAACTTCATTATGTCAATTCATTCTCAGTTCCCCACTTTGTCCGAATTCTCTCCACCTCCGGTCTTTCTTTCTCTCTTGAAGGTTGTATTCGTTGGAAATTCTACTACGTTCTACCGGTCACCCGCAATGTTAAATACTTCTATGGGGGAATCAACGGTATAGATTTGCCTCCAAATTTTGATCAGAGAGTCGGTGGGATGTTCTGGAGCATCGTGAACACGATGGAGGATTACGCCACAAGGAGATGATCTTACTATGAAGGAGTCTTTGTTGCTATTGGGAAGACGATGCGCACTTGTGTTGTTGGAAATACGTATGGATTCAGATCCATTTATTTCTACTTCGGAAGTTGTTCGTTTGAACATTAATTTTCTATTTTTTGTTTTTTTTTTTTTTGAAACTCCAGATTCCCTGATGACAAATTTGATCGATACTGGGAAGTAGAAACCATTTGGAGAGATCAGTCCTACAATACAAAGCTTTTGAAATCTCTCGGTTTATAGTATTTGAAATCTTCCACCCTTAAAAGGTGTTTAGCACTGAGTTAACGTCTGACCAAGGAATGCCCAGGGAGTTAACGACAACTGTTCTTCACCAGTGATTGTAATTGATCGGCATAATCCGTTCTACACCGGTTAGTTATTTTAGTACCCATTTAAAAAAAAGGGTAAAATGGGTAATTAGAAAAATTTATTCATCGATTAATGTTTTCCGTTTGGGTCAATGACAGAAGGGAGATTTTTGTTGAATTTTTTAAAAATTTATGAGAGGTTTTTATTAAAGTAAAACTACAGGGAAAGATTTTATGATTGTCAGAAACTCAAGAGGAGATTTTTGTATTCACATCATATATATTCATACAATTGATATCTCTGTCAATAGAAAATATATGATTTGGAATTGGAAATGTTAAAAGCTCTCTAAAATCTCTTTGGGGATTCCTTACATGTCAGACCGACAATTTGCCACTTGTGATTTGAAAATTCAAATATTTTAAAAGAAAGCACAAAAAGGTGATCAAACAGAGCAATTAACCTTAAACCCAATTTACCCTCACATGGTTTCACCTTTTTAGGTTAAACTTTGAAGGGTCTAATTAGCTAATTTGCTAGGTTGGAAGGTAACAGATGCTTCGGGATTGCTTCAGCACAAACGTGAACATGACAAATTTACTTTGTTGCAACTGTTATGTTAGTAGTACCTATAGCAACCAATGGAAAATTGGAAACCATATTGCTAGCTAATCAAAGACAGTGTTAATCAGTCAATCAATCTAATCCCATTTGCATCCAACCAAATAAAAAATGGAGTTTAGACCTGGTCTTGATCCATGTTACATTCAAACCTTACTCTGCCACCCAATTTTAATTAATTGGTGTATTGACATCATCTCATTTCCAAGATGCCAGCTTTTTAGTTGTTCTCTCGGTATTTATATCACTATCCATTGACCAAACTACACAAGAGAGAGAGAAAGAGAAAAAAAAAAAGAAAACCAAGATCACCAGATCCGAGGCAAAGGTAGGAGATGTAAAAAGGCCAAGTTGTTCTGCAGTCTCAAGGAGGATCATGGGGGAGACATGCCACATGAACAGGAGCTAGAGATATAATCAACATATTATAACTAAACCCTTGGTCATTAGCTAAGAAACCAACCCAAGGAGGAGGAGCACATGAGAGGCCCATTGCCATCAATTGTTTATGATGATCACCTAGGGCCCAGATCCAACTTCGAAATCCCTTCAATAGATTTAATCTTTTGTATCCTAATCCAAATCTTTCTCCCAGAAAAAAGCACATGAGCTTTTAAGTTTGGTGTGAAAGATGGTGGTGAGGCACATGAAGATTGAATTAAAATGCTAAAAAGGAGCACACAAAATACAATTGAAATGATGGCAGCTTAAAAATTGCAAGTTCTTTGATTGGGCAATAGGTGGTCCAGAGGTGGTGGGTGGGCTTTGGCTTAACTTCATTGGGCTTGGAAATCTCAGCTTCGTAAGATCTGGTGGTTTCTTTAGTTTTTGTCCAAGCCCTGATTGTAGCCCTTTGACGGTTGACCCCAATATCCCAGCCATACCGGGATGGGGACCTGGTCAAAAGGATACAGGAGCAACGCTCGGGCTTCCTCGAGGCCTTGGGAAATGGGGCTATAGGCTTTTGAGGTAATATTAGGGTTAGGGAGAAAGTAAACCGACTACCGAAATATGGCTCATGGAGTCATGGTTGTGTTAGAAGTTGGGCTTGGGCTTTCGTAGATCCTACGTCCTGACACCTATTTTGGGCTTTACATTTGTCATGAAAAATCAAGCTAAATGAGACTCCCTGGGCTTGGGTTGACCTCAACCCGACCCAACCTGGCCCAAATTGCACTCCTATAGCCTATAGGCTATATAGGAGTGCTGACAATTTTTTTTTCTGGGAGTCATCTACAATGTTCAAACGCTTATCATTTTAAATTCAAAGTCGATGTCCAAAAGAAAAAAAAAAAATGGTCTACAAACGGATGTCCAAAGCAAAATTGGATATAGGTCTCAGTTTGGAAAGAGTACAAATACAAAATATGTAGAATGTAAATACAATTTTTAGAAATTCAGCACACAAGGCTTGTCTTTGCACTGTCATCTGCATTTAGAGTTTAAATCTTATGTAACCACGATTACTGGATTATCTCTTCTAACCACCAATCATAACCCAACAGTCTACTTCAGCTTAGAGCTCGTTAGGCGAAGGTGAAAGTATGGATGTTATTCTGATGCAAGTGATGAACCTTGTATGTATTAGATAGTCATACCGAATCATTTTCCCCATGGAAGCCCATACAAGTTAGTTGTTTAATTGGTGAAACCTCCAACGAATGCCCAACATATCCTTCTCTCCTGTAGCAAGTCAAGATAGAGGCATTATTATTAATTTATTATGGGTGTCCATAAACTGTTAGGTCTGAATAGGTTTTTATTCTTTGGCCCACTTTCTCATGCGAATACCCACCGGACTTTGAAGCATGAACAAGCATAGGCCTATCCATCTTGTGCTGAAACTTGATTAATTATAATGGGGGCAATGAAGATAAAATACTAGGCCATTTAGTCCAACATGCTCTGATACCATCTTAAAGAATCATTCAACATAAAATCTTCAGTTGTTAGATAAGGTCCTGAATAGTTTTTTATTCTCTAACACATAGGACTGGAAAAACCACAACAAGATTTACTTGCTGAGATCATAGTGGCTGTTCGGGACTAAGGATGTCAGTGGCTCAGGTTAAGTGGTAAACCCACAGATCCAACCCTACTGCCGGGTCATTTTCCGCTTGCATTGTAGCATTGAAACATTTGTATATACTAGTAAACGTGTATGTGCATTTGCACATGGTAGTATCTCTAAGACAACTATTTATAATTTATGGGCAGTTTCTAAACGGTTATAACTTATAAGTGGGTAGTTTCTGAACAGTTTTGAGTGGACAATTTCTGAAGTGAGAATAAAGGACATATATGCCCTTTTTACGCCCGCTGTTGCTTAGACAAGGTCACAAGAGGGGTAAAAAACATCCAATGAAAAATCCAAAAAAAAGAGGAATTCACTCTTTTATAGGTACTATAGACAAGTGTGGTTGTGTAAAATTGGGATCACGTTCCAACCCCCTACCAACATGATCTGACACTGCACATCTCACTATGAAATTGGGACACAGCATAAAGTAGGACCCGCCATATATAAGATGTGCAGTGTGAGATCATTTTGATAGGGGGTTGGAACGTGCTTTGCTGGCAGGTGATCCGGGATTGTTGTGTATAGGTGTAGTACAAATGGGATGGGCGCCTGTAATGTTTATTTATTTATAAGACAGGTAAGTTTGGGTACCCCTGTCAGGTTCAGAGGTTCAGGTTGGTGTTGCTTTGAGTTGGGTTCGGGTTGACACAAATCTGGCCCGTTGACATCTCGAACCTTTTGACACAGGTTCGAGTCTCCTTCCTTGGAGTCTACATCAGGTAGGCAACTTGGAACAAGATTAAGTAAACACTAGAAACCATAAAAATGTTTTACCATATGACACTCAACTAAGTCAGAGCTTCAGCCAAATCAAATATTGTCCATAACCTCTCCTCTGTGTGATGAAAGAGTTATATCTTGGAAGCTTTGTTTCCATAAGACCAAGAAATATTGCAACTGTTCATGTGAGACAAATAGAAATACCTTTTTCTTTCATACCTCAGAACACTTACTTCCATTACTCTAACTGCAACCTGGGATGCAAAAGACAAATTCTTGAGGTCAAGAACTTAGTTAGAAAGCTTCTCATTCAACCAAAAATTATGATCTATTCGTGGCCATCAGTATCAAGAAAGATTCTAATCCATCAAGACTTAAGATCAAGAGTTTGGAGCATTGACCCAATTTTCCCTGTCTCCAGTAGTCAAATGAAACGGAGGACCACGTCTTTAAGGAATGTAAGGCAGCCAAATAGACATGGAAACTGGTGGAGACCATCAATCAATTGGACCTAGGGAGAACAAGGATATTATTATGGATGCAAAGGATAAACAACAGAACCAATGTAAAAGTAAAATGGAGAGAAAATACCCTACATATTATAGAACTTAGGAATAGGTACGCCTTTAACAATGAGCAACATGATCCAGCCAGCCAGATCCATTGAATGGGCGGCCATCAAACTTAAAACTTTCAAGAAATCATGCACTAATATGAAAATAAGACTACAAATAAGAATCTCAAATTCATCAAATGGTTTTACCAAAAAAATATCAGATGGAAGGTACCACAACTCAATAAAATCATCAGCAACTGGCTGGGCAGCGAGAGATGGTTCTACAGCAACATTATTAACTTCAATACAAAGATGATTGGCATCAACACAATTACAGTAGCAGAGGCACGGGGAGCAAAAGAAATGGTCGTTGGAGCCATTGATGATTGAACTAAATCAAAACAACATCGCAAGTGAAGGCAACTCCAAGCTTACCGTCCAGTGCATTAAAAGTCAAAACTCCTTGGGTCACCGCTCACGACTCACGAGCAATATTATCATAGATAAATGGAGATTGGTGGGGGAGAGTGGGAAACGCTCAAACGCGTATTCACTTCAGCCACACCTATAAAAGAAGCCAACCATCTAACAGACCTAGTCAACCAAAGATAAAGATACTGGCATCAGAATACAAGATATTTTGCAAAATCTATAAAGAATCAGGCTTGAGGATTTCAGGTTTGTGGATTGCACTGCTGCACCACCCCAAGTAGTTGCTGCTGCATCTTTTCTCTTTGTACCCAAAAATATAAAGGTAATAAGCCATCTTTAATGTCCATCCTCTATTAAATTGTATCGAAACAAAGAATAAAAATGAGAATCCGTAAGGTCTGAATTAACAATTTCTTTTTATACATCTACCTCCTCTGCATTCTTTTCATCCCATTAACAGGCAACAGCAGAATCAAAACCCTATATCATCACCGATGACTCCCCTACTAAGAACTATAACTATTTTAATAAAATTTGGTCATCCACTACAAATTCCACGTAACCTTCTTCTACTATCCAAAAATTAAAAGGCATTTTAGCTGACAATCTGCCAAAGTATAGAGGGGTAAGGTGGGTATATGGAGTATAAACTGTTTATGTATCAAATTGTAAGGTAGAGAGTCAGGACTGGGATCCTGGGAGATAAATACGGTGGATATTGCCAATGAACAGCTCCTTCCGACAGGTGGGGCATCTATTCTGGACCCGGATGGCGGTTGTGATGCAGGACATGCAGAAAAGATGCCCACATAAAGTAGATGTCTCTTCCTTCATGGTGTCCATGCAGATTGTGCACCTAAGCTTTATTTCGTCAACCTCTTGCACATGCTGCCTGCTGCTTGAAGGCACTCCAAACTTCGTCTGCTATGCCACCATCTTACACGTGTCAGAATTAGAAAAGGTGATGGTATAATTAACTGGAAATTCTGATTTATGCTTATCAAACAGGATCATCAAATCAAAATACATGGTTTGATAAGGTTCATGCAAACATCTTTAACCTAACAATCACACAAGTATGCTCTTTCAACTGAAGAATTTGACACCATGAATCTTTTTTATGATATGGAACCAAACCAAGGATGTGCCCAATAATTTATACATCCAATAAAAAGACCACTTAGACAGCCAAAATTTATTTTCATACAAAGCCTTACCAACCAACCGATTGCTTTTATTTGAAAATCAGTAAAAGAAATGTGCAATAAAGATCAGGCAGTTTGCACCATCTGCTAAATCCAATAGTTGTACAGTCACATCCAATAGGTGGTGAAACAACAGAAAGGATCAAACATATAGGGTGCCATTGTCATAAATGTGGATAGAAATGGACTGAATCTCCACTTAGACAGCCAAAATTTATTTTCATACAAAGCCTTACCAACCAACCGATTGCTTTTATTTGRAAATCAGTAAAAGAAATGTGCAATAAAGATCAGGCAGTTTGCACCATCTGCTGAATCCAATAGTTGTACAGTCACATCCAATAGGTGGTGAAACAACAGAAAGGATCAAACATATAGGGTGCCATTGTCATAAATGTGGATAGAAATGGACTGAATCTCCATCTGCTATGTGATAGCATCCTGGACTAGACACTCTCCTCCAGTTAACTGCCCAAATCAACAGACTTGTTCCAAGAGTAACATCAATTGAAGTCATAGATCAATAGAAGCAAGCAGTTATTGCAGGGACAAAAATAATTTGATGGGTTATACCAAGGAGATGTACATCATTAAGTATATCCAACTTATTATCACAATATCCAACCCAAAGAATTCTTTCTTAGAATTTGCAAATACTTTTCAGACTTTGTCTCAGAAAGAACAAAAAAGATTGGTTGCTTGGCTAACAGTCATTCATTTTGGTTTGTTATTATAGCTCTACCAGAAAACCCTCAGAAATGTTGTTCCTGATAGTCCCTGCATTACATGATAGATAATTTGAGCAGATCACTTTCCGGCTGTTCCAAATCCAACTATTCTTGTTAAATTCTCTTGGCAATCCTCACTGAAATCTTCATTAATAATATTAAGAGTTGGGACGTGGTAACGAGATTAATGATAAAATGAAAAGGATGCATAATTATCCATACCTTGACAACTTTCCAAGGTCGTGGAGGTTCTCCTACTCCATTGACAGTGTGACTTCGATTCTCAGCAGATTCACTATGCACTGCCAAGCCACTAATTACATCAGAAAAAACAAATCAAAAATTAAATTGAAAATAGGACTAAGTAGTCAATATGCCTAGTACAGAACTTCAAAGTTGTGTCAAAATGATCATTTACTCAAGGAAAGGATGGTAAAATTTCAATAACAAGCACATATGCAGAACAAAAAAACCTACTATTTTTAGATAAGAAATGTATTGAAAAAGGGAAGAGGAAAAGTGCACTTTCATAGCCAATCCACTCATGCTACATATACTTTAATTTCTCAAAATAGACCATCAAATGATAGTTACTTTTCCTGGGAGGAAAGAGATGACAGCTCACATGAATTTTTTTTTTAAGTCTATGTGACATTTGTTTGCATTGATGGACCTCTGAAGTCCAAGAAAACAATTTTCCAGAAGTCCCACTTCATTTGGTGCAACCTCTGAGGAATTTCACTTAATCGTAAAACTGCCTCTTAGCAGCTCAAAGGGCCAACTTCTCTGAATATGATAAGAGACTTTTGATTTTTTTTTCCAAACAAAAACAACTGTTTTATCTTCTTACTTTCCCAAAACCCAAAACCCTTCTTTTTTGACCAGCATTACCCTTTGCATTTGGAGAGCTGACAACAGCAGCATGTAAAGTGGAGAATGCTGAACTTCACTTTATTTTTCTTTATGTTATACAGTTCTATCTCCTCCAACTTTAGAAGGGTAAATTTGTAAAATGGGTTATTTTCAAAAGTAGATTTTGACTATTCCAAGTCCAGAACCATATTTTGATCTTTTTTTTTACCACCTTTCACTGTGCTTCCACATTCTATTATTTTCTGTTGATTACCAATTACATCGGTTTTGCACCAGGTAACATCTAAAATAATATTCCCACTGTAGCCATTCTCCAACATTGTCATTCTACCATTCTACCCTTCCAGACAGGCAAACATCATATAAATCATTGTCAACAAATTAGAATTGTGACTGAAACAAACATACACTCAACATTGTCATGGAACCTAAAACCCTGACTATAAAAGGAGGTAATCTAATTTGTTTTATATTTTGATCTTTTTTGCTTTTCAGAGATAAGAGTTCGGTTTTACCAAAAACTTGGTGCACATGTTTGAGGTCAGGACATTAGTGAGAAGAGCATGAACTAGAAACAAGTGAGTAAGTTCAGTTTATTTGTATTTACATCCATTATTTTCTCCTAATTAATAATCCCATCCGTTGCCTGCAACTAAGTGCATCTATGACTCAGACTTTGAGCTTGTTTGGTACCATTGCTGTTTTCTCAGGCTACAGAAACGCCTTGAAAAATGATAAACTACTCCAGGTGATATGCACTTTTTTAATATTATATGGTGCCAGCCAAGCACCATTTGGCACCACATAGGCAAGAAGGAGAAAACCTTTTCTCCAATACAAGAAGCTTCGTTTTGACATTTTCTCAAAAAGCTGTTTGCACATAACCCGAGGTGAGACTGTTGCTTGTAATGGTTTGAAAACTCTTGAAAAATGCTCAGCCAAACAGAGGATATGAGAAAATGCCTACATGGTGCTGACCTGGAGAAAACACCTTGGAGAAACGGCATTAATACCAAACACAATCTTAGTCTAACTAACATTTGCATTTAACTTAATTTATGAAATATTTTAACAAAAACATGTATGCTAATGTAGGATTAATGGTTATATATTTACCTATCCAGGTTATAGATGATAAAACCAATAATTTTAAACCAGTTGCACAACAAAGATAAAAGCAAGAAATGACTGAAAGGCACAACCAATGGACAAGAACACGGAAAGGTTGTCAAAACAGGTAGCCTGAATTAGATGATAAGTGACCATATATAACAATTAAATAGATAATACGTCACATGGGTTAAAAAATAAAATCCTGGCACATATGTTCACAAAGAAAAAGATAAATAAACACACAATTCCCATAGAGAGAAGAAGAAGAAATCAATATCCATCAAAAGTGTACTAGATCACCTCTGAATCCAAGACGGAGTTCCAAATCATCTTCAGTGACAGTAACCCTTGAACTCGGAATAGGAAATAATCCCATTGTCTGCACATATAACAACATAAAGAACATGTAAGAGGAACATCTATTGAGCATTTGAAATAGTAGAATCCTGAATCCCCATGGTCTTACATTCACCTGTGAGGCGGATGACACCTGGCTTGGAGAATAAATTAGCAAATCGTCATCATCATCTTCATCATCTATATTTATAATGTTGGGAAGGCTGCTTCCACAGTTCCTAGTGAACATGCCTACTCTAGGTAAAAAGGAATGCTCTAATTGTAGTTGAGGATCTTGATTGCTCTTCCTCTTTGATCTCAGACTCATCATCCCCAGACTGTCCTGGATGAAACACATTTGCCAGACCAAGTTCAAACAAACTAGTACTAATATCATCCAACACAAAAAAAAAAAGGAAAAACAATGGATGAATCAAGAATCTATCATGACAGCCATGAAACCTAAACTGGGTGTAAGTTTAAATAAAGGAAAACAGTTATATCTAGATGGAGCTTAAAAATGTATAAATAAAATAAAATAAACTTCTAATTCATTTTCTAACTATAGTAACCAAAATATGTTTCAATAAAATTAGAGACAGATTGAACTAAGAAATAAAAGTTCTAAGGGATGGAAATGACTACAAAGGCACCAAGAAGTGTAGCATAAATTATTGGATCTAAGCAAGGGAAACGAAAAATGTCTAGTTTAGAAAGACAAATATTCATCCAGATGTGATCTATATCATCTTAGGTAGACTGATAAGAAAAGTTAAGACTTGTAAACTTTGAAATGATTCTGGAGAGATGTTAACAAAGGAGACCAAAAAATGTGACTGAATTGCACAAGGTCACAAGCTCCCCCCCCCAATCCAAGGTTCCATCCAACCATGATCCACTATTTCTATTAGAGTGGTGAAGGGGCTGAAATTTTAGAAACAATACAACAACTTGGAAACAAGGCTCTTTTAAGCACGATACCAAGAAACGAAGCAGGTATAATCAAATAAAAAAGGAATAAAGAAAGATCAAAACTGCAAATCCATGAAAATTGCCTGCAATTCTACTTTCAAGGCCAAAGCTTTTGCCCATGCTTTCTTTAAGGATGAATAAAAAACATTGCAAAATTTTGTAATGACTTGGACTTCAGAAGGGGAAAAACTGAGAAACAAATGCAGCAGACAGACTGAAGTAGCAAGAAACAAGACTAAAAGGTTCTTAAAGCCAAAGCCCCACCCAAATATGATCTAACATCTCATGGACTGGGAAGTTGCCAGTGCTTGGTGCAATGGTAAAATCTTGGTTTGACAAGCATGAGAATGCAGGTTCAAGTCTGAGGGTTGCCATTCCATGCACAAAATGCTGGAGGTTAGGTCTGCATCCAGTCCACCCCTTCCAAGCCCTTCCATAGACTATGAATTTATAATTTTGAAGCTTTGTAAACAAATGAGAATAATTAACAAAAGAGGCCAAGAAATGCGACAAATATGACTGGGTCGTGCAAATAAAAACATGAAGAACAAAAAGCTTCACAATATGATCTATTATTTGTATTGGATTGATGAAAATTTAAAAGCTTGAACGCCTTGTGTATCAGACCAAAAAAATGAAATATATATATATATATATGTGTGTGTGTGTGTGTGTGTGTGTGTGTGTGTGATTTATTTGAACAAAAAAAAGAATAAAAGGAAACAGCGAGGAAACTACAAAAGCATGAAACGTGGTAAACGTGTTACAGACCAAGATTCTATATTAAAAAGCGATAGATGCAGGGACATACCTTCTACAATATCTTTTAAACTACATAAATACGATTTAGGAACCCTAATTAAACCCTAATTCAATAATCTTAGGATTCAATCACTGATGTAGATCAATAACGATATAACAGCAAAAGAGTCAAACCTCTGAGCTCTGAAACCAATTTACAATTTAAACGAGAAACGAAACAGGAAAGCAAAGTTCTAAAGTATTCGATCAATGTAAATAAGGATGAAAGCAAGAAGTAAGAAACTTTCGGCTCGAGCAGGAAATTGAAGACAATAGATAATAAAAAAAGGGGGCGGGGAGGGAGGGGGCCGCAATGTTAAGCAATACCCAACACGAATCGGAGAGTTCTTCAAAACATAGCAAAACCGATGTCAGATTCCGAACTTTGCATGATTTCTGAAAATGGAACGAACAGAAGAAATGCACGGAGTGGAGAGAGCAAAAGAAAATAAAATGAAAATGGAAAATGCAGAATCAATTCCATGGATAAATGAATAAAATATTAGAAAATAATAAAGAAAGTAGAGAAAGAGGTTTTGTTAAGACCTGAGAGGACAGTTAGCGGGAACACCAGATTAAAATAATTGCTTTTGAGGGGAACGTTATTTGACCGTGAGGCTGTGTTTGGTGTGAAGGAAAAAGGTGGGGACAGGATGAAAAAGTTAGGAAAACCTTTAAGCTGCTATGTTCCCATCTTTCACTTCATTTTCTCACTTTTCCTTCAAACAAAACACACTATCAGTATTACCCTGGTGGTGGTGGTGTTCTATGCACTGTTTTAAAAACGGACCGAAGCTTTTTGTCTCTTGGTTGCAGGTCACTGGTTCGACCGTTCAGGCCAAACAGATTAAACTATAACATATCAACACCTAATATATAAACATATCAATTGTACTATATGTATAAAGATGCATTTTATCATATAGGTCCTGTTTGGCAAATCTTCTTAAAAGATCTTTGTTTAAAAATTCGATAGACCAAAAATAGTCTTTTTTGTTTGGTTACTAAAAGGCTAATATACCAAAAGACAGATGCCAAAAAAGATCCTAAAAAGACCAAAATAGTCTAGATTTGAGAAGCTCCTAGCCAACTTTTCAATTCGGGCTTCTCAGCTTCCTGACATTTTGACAAAAATTAGACTGAGTTCGAACCCTCGGCCCCAGCAATTGAACTGAGAAGCATCGAAATCGAACTCTCAGCTTCCTCCCCTCCTTTCTTCTCGTCGGCGTCCGTTTTCTAAGGATTTTTCACCCCTGTTCTCCGGCCATCACAGCGGCGATATTCACAAGATTTTCACTGGGGTTTTCGGCAGTTTCTCACCGTCTTTTAGAGATCCTTCTCGTCGCCGTCCATCGTCCACATTGATTCCGGTAAATCTCTTCATCATCGTAGTCTCTCTACATTGTAGTAGCTTTATCGGTAAAATCAATAATGTTTTCATTTCTGATCTCTGGTTTTCTTATCCTCTTCTGCTGTTCTCCACGATCTCTGATCTCTGGTGATGAAGCTTCTGCAGAATCAATGATAGCTTTCAGTGCACACTGTAGTAGTTTGGATCAATGATATCGGTCCCTGTAAAAGTTCACACTAACTTTTGGATCTCTGCACCTTGAAATAGGTATTTTGTAGGAAGTAGCTTCTGCGTTGTTTTTTAGGAAGTAGCTCCTGCGTTATTTTTTAGGAAGTAGCTTCTACCAGATCTGCTCAAACATGGTTTATCGAACTGTTTTTTAGGAAGTACCCTCCTAATTAATTATTTAATGCACAAATCAATATAAAATAATGGAGGGTTCCAATGGGAGAGAAGAGGTTTAATCCCCTTTAATTTGGAATTGGAAGAATACTGTTGCTCCCTTTCCAGAACTTGTATCAATAGCAATATGCCAATCAAGGCTTGAACACCTTCTTCTTCTTGTGCATTCTCTTTTTCTTCAAAGACAAGTTTTGCTTCACAACAAAAAATGGTACCAAATAATTAAGAACTTAAAAAGTCAAAAAGAAGATTTTAATAAATTTCCAAAATATGCTGCTTTTTCCCTGTATTTATCTGATTTTCCCAAAATATGCCGATTCAATAAATTTCCAATAAATTGAATGCTCAAGCATGGAATTAAACTCTACCACTGAAATCCTTGATATCAAAGGCATCTCCACCAACACTTACTAGAACCAAAATTTCAACAAGTATGATTAAGTATGACTGTTACATTAGCTATGATTCAAAATTATAGTTGGATCTTTCTGTAGACTGTAGCTTGGTAACATGGTGATTATACAACCGAAAATTAAGAGACAGGAAAAACCCTTACACGATCCAGGACAGGCCCACAAAGGTGCCATAGTCATGAAGCTTTGTGTGATAGAACCCACTGTAAAATGTGATCCTTGTTCTGGGCTCAACTGCTTTGAATTTGAGACTCACAGTCTTGAACTTGCTACTGCCATGGGCTTCGAATGGGACTTTCAGGGTCTCTTTAGCAGCAAAAGCTTCGACCATCATGGATCCATGGGTTTATAGAGTTTGTGGTGTAGCATAGCTCTCCATAATCCAGTTATAGTAATGCTCAAAAAAATGTAAAAAAGGGAAAAATTGGCTTGCTGATGCTGGATTTTCTAGAGTATAACTAGAAGGTTATACATGCAAGATCCCCACCATACTTGCACACAAAAAATCCAAACACATTCAAGTAGAACTTACCTGCTAGAGCTCTCTTTCTAATCCTATCGCCTTTAGTCATGCCTATCAGTCATCCATTTCAATGTTCTTATTTATGCTGCATCCATTTTAAGGTTTAATTGGTTATTTGATTGTCCAAACCTCTGCTTACCATACAATACTAATTATTTTTATCCACTCAAACATGCATTGGAGACAAAATGCTAATTGTTGTATTTCCTATATTTTTTATTTAGAATTAAAAGATTATGCAGATGGGGCAAACTATGAATGTAATTGATGCATCCATTCAAGAGATATCTTTCTTTTCTCAGAAGATACTCTTCTTAGCAGAAAAGATGACTTATTTTTTTGGTGATGTGCTACCCAGGACCTTCAGCAAGGACTGGATCTTGGTCTGGTGTCACCAGAAGTGGTACAGAACTTCTTTGATCTGGAGCAATATCCCCTTATTTCCAAACTTACTCATTGCTTCCAGGTAAGTTGTTTTCAATGATTAATTGTCTCTTTCATTTCTTTTGGTTTATAGAAATCACACTTAGATCTTGAAAGAATTTCTTTCTTTGATTACCTGCAAATTACCTGCAAAAACATATAATAGAACAACCAATTGTAAGCCTTTAACAAAACTGAAAGCTTTTTTCTTCTTCCTTATCTGTTCTTTTTGGGGGGTTGGTAAAATTTCTTCTGAAATAGAAGAAAAAGAGAAGATAATGCAGGCCCTTTTATCTGGTCTGATAATTCCTTGGGCCATAAATTTACTAGTTCAGATTGGTTTTTTGAAGTTTAGAAACCAGACCACACCACAAAGCGTATTAAACCTAATTATAAATAATATATTTATTAATGTTTATAATATATAATAACATATGTATGTATGTATTCATTTAACATTTCATACATTATCGTTGTTTGTTTCAAATTTTTAACTTGTAATTTGATACCCAATGATCTGTTTATGTTTGAGAAAGTGCAAATGTAATTTATATAATAGTAATAGGTGGCACTTGTTTTGCTGAAAAAGAGGGTAGACAAATGCCAACCATGGCCCTTTTATTTTTTTTTGATGAATAACCATGGCCCTTTTATCTGGTTGAATTGGCTGATCTAAATTACTTATATGGTTTGCCTTTTAGTTCTGTGCTAGAGGACCTGTGCAGCTGTGCTAGAGGAACTGTAAGGTAAATCTTGATACTGTAAGGTAAATTAATTCATTAATATCCAAAAACCAAATACAATAGAACCCCTGTATAAAGAGAACCTGTGCTAGAGGATGTTTAGAGGATCAGGACTGTCACATGTCAAGAGAAAACCTTGATAAAAAAAAAGAAAGAAATTGCCATAACTTGCCACATGTTTGATGTTTAGAGGATCAGGACTGTCCAATCAGTCAAACTGACATAAGAAATTGCCATGTCAAAAAACATAGCAATCTAATGGCGCATTAATAGAATTCCAATCTGTTGGCCATTTCCTGATTTGATTGCCAAATATCAGAATTGTGTCCAACCACAATGCTGGTGGGTTGAGTAGGGTGTCTATCTGTAGGTTCAGTGAAGAAGTAGGTGGTTTCATAGCTGACCCATCAAAATGAAAAAGAAATAAACAACTCTTCACTGTTAAGCTCTCTGAAGACGATACTATCTTTTCCAATTTGGGTTTTATTTTGTTTTTTTTTTTGTTTGTGTTTTTTAATCTCATGGTTGGAATCTAATGAATACTCTTACAAGTTACAACCTGTCCAAGTCAAGGGTGTTTAAGGTCTTTTTCGGGTAGTTTATAATGTTTTYTTTTYTTTTTTTTTTTTTTTTTKTTTKGGGGGGGGGGGGGTGAATGAAGTTTGATAATTGTACCACACCATGTGGACATATTGAAGGGAAGGGAAATAAATATTTGATGGGACTTAACTGGTCCTTTGTACATGTGGTTTATAGATAGAATTGGGCCTAAGTCGTACACCATGACTATTAAGCTCAGTGCTGTGTGAGTTGAAAAATCCCAATTTCAAATCAATTAGAAAGCTGCTTTAGGAAATACATTAAGATAATTGAGAGTAAAAACCCTTCAGACCTCTAGAGGATTTGGGATTAAAAACCCTTATTTCCCTCTACAGAGAAAAATCCTTAAGTCAAGCCAATTACACGACAATTAATTTTATTAAATATGGATGCCCAAGTTCTACAGAGTCTGACTACAGGGTGCAAATATCAGAATTTGATCTRCTGGCTCACCACAGTCACCATGCCATTGAAGTACACTTGCTTGCATACATAGAAACCAAATATTTAACTTCACCAGGTATGGGCAGGGTTCCCTGATATTAATACCTGTTGGTTTTGACTATGTTAAACTTTCCAGGTCCGTTATGAGCTGCACTAGCTTTTAGCTTAGCCTTTGCTTATTAATAAAGTGCCTTTTTGGAGGGCTTTCAGGGAGCAAATCCAAAAACAGGAAAAAGGAAAAAAGGCTTTCCAATAATGTTTCTTTAAATAGCTTGTTCAAAGTGGCTCAGAGAAAGCGGCTAAGTCAGGTTCAGCCCTCCCAAACGGGCCCAAGTCTCGGCCTAAAGTGAGCCTCAGACCAATTGAGAAAAAGAGTGCCTCCATTGTCAGTCTTGAGCTACAATTTAAACACTTTTTTTTTTACCTTTTAGTTTCCTTTTTGGCCATTGTGTGACTGTGTATTACCTTACTTCATGATAACAATTGTCCCCAAAAAAAAAAGAATAAAAGAAAAAGGAAGACCAGAAAGAAGAAAAACAGGAAAAAAAAAAAACAATGCCATCAGTTCCTAACCGAGAATTACTTCCATTCTCTGTCTCTCCTCTATTTTGTACAAGGAAGACTATGAGAGGAGTACAAAACTTTGTATAAACTATTGCAAGTAGGGCTGTTCATAAGAATGCCCAACCCGACCAAACCGACTAATCCGGACTGACCCAACCCGAGTCGGCCGGGTTTTCATCAATACTGGTCGGTTTCGGGTTGGGAAAATATATAAACCGATATATCGGATCAGTTTTGGTTTTCTTGTATGAAAACCGAAACCAACCCGACCCGAGCCGAACTAGTCTTCTACTAGTTCGGTAGTTCCTAGTTTGAGTAGTTTCCTACTTAACTATAATTAGTCTTCTACTAGAACTAGAAGGCCCATTAGGCAATTACAATTAGAATAGGCAATCTATCTTAGTTTCTAACTTTCTATAGTCTTTTACACCAAATAGGCAACCCATTAGGCAATTACAATTAGAATTCAATTAGGTGTCCTTTTGTGCAGGAGCAAGACCGAAACCGACCCAACCCGACTCAAACCGACTAGGCTGGTTTGGCCTATCAGTGGGTCAGTTTCGGTTTCTACCTCAGGTAACCCGACCAGGTCGGGTCGGTTGGGAAATCCCCAATAAACCGACCCAACCCGACCGCAAGTCAATGACTTAAAAGTACATTAGTCATTAATAATAAAGCTAATTCCTAGGGAGGACTCACTGACAACGGAAGAGGACCACGCAGGATCATGAGACCTTTTGACAACAGCAAGTCAATGAAGCCAAAGATAAGCATACCAGAAGCTTCCTAGCAAATGAAACTGATGAAAACTCAATTAATTCAACAATTAAGGGCCTCCTCTCTCTCACACACACATACACACACCCCTTATGAATGATAACTGTGATGGGTCCAATTCGGGTCCTGGTTGCAGTCATTACTATGTAATATAAGGATGAAAGAAAATAGCCCATCAAGATGCCATTCTTGAGGTGGTCTGATATGGATGTTTTTTAGTTTTAAGGCTTCCTTAGCTGGTTTATTCTGCCATATATCCATTGATTCAAAATGTGATGTTATATTTTATTCGGTCATGTTGATTTTCTGAATTTTTCTAGCTGTAGGTCCATTACCTTAGCCATATTAATGTAAGGGACCGTGTAATCAAATTTAATCTTTATATTATTTGCACTAAAATCAAGACAATCAACTTAATATAATTAGTTTACAAATGAGGGTAAAGATATAAATTAATTTAATATATGATCAATCAAAAACCAAGGCAAAATATTTGTTTTATGTATTATGTATAAATTATTATTTTTTATAATATTCTAGTCATATTAATTTAAGGGGTGGTTTATCCTATCACCTATCTAGAGGCGCTTGAAGTCGAAGGGGCCTGCTTATTAGATTTAGAGCAAAAAGTTGACCCAATTCGTGAATCCGATTCAGCACAACTGAAAAAATAGAGTTAGGGTCTCATATATTAGCTACCCGAATTTCATAATGACATGACCCGATTCAATTCGGAAAAAAATGGATTGGGTTGGGTAATGGGTCAACCCGCTAACCTGATTATTAGGTCTTATTTAGACTATTTATTTATTGTTAGAAATTTTCGCTATTTGATATTTACTATTTAGTGTTTACTCTTTAAATTGTTAAATGTTCAAGTTTTTTATTTTATTTTTGAAAATTTAAGGTTAATTCCTTTAATTTTGATATTTTTTGTATTTTTTCTTTGTTTTTAATTTCTTTGTTTTTAATTCCTTTGTTTTTAAATGTTCAGGTTGAATTTGAATTTAGGGTTAGGGCATAACATTTGCTGACCCAATTCGAAATTCAACCTGAAGTGTCTTGACCCAACTTGAACTCAACACACCCAACCCAATTGCCAGGCCTAGGCCTTATCAACGTTGTTGCCCTTGTTAAAAGGCTCCAAGCAATGTTTTCAAAATTGGACTGGATCGAACAGTTGGCCCAAAAAATGGAGAACAGGTCAGGTCTTCGGTTCTGGTTAAACTAAAACTCAGGATTCTTAGAAAACCATTGAAAAGGTTAGAGAACCGCTGACTTGAGCAATCAAACGGTTAAATTGTTTGACCCTGGGTAACAGTTTGCAGGTTACATTTTTCTTGAAATTAAAAAAGGGTTTCTAGCAGGTAAGGGCAACTTTTTGCCCTGAATATCAATAAAAGATGATATTTTTATAAAATAATTAAAATAAAGTAACTTTTCTTAAAAAATATCAAGGAACGGCAATGACACTATTCATTGTCTTCCTCTGTCCTTAATTCTTTGCTCTCTCATTCTCTCGCACTTAGAAACCCAAACAAAAAAGAGAAGGAAAAACCAGAAATCAGTAATGGTAAACCAGAAATGGATGAAGTAATTGTTTCACCAACCTTCTGTTTGGTGTGAGTCATGCCGGACTGAGACAAAGCCACTAACAGCGGTATTGCCCTTTTGTGGCTTACCATGGTTCGGTAAACCAAGTTATCCTCGTAGATCTGCAAAAGAACATCTGTCATGACTTCTTTCTGTCTCTATGTCCTATCTCCATGATCTCTACTAGTACGAGAATGCTGCCTTCATCAACCAAAGCGGTTTTCTCATCCGGTACAAAAACACAACAACGATGCCATTTCCCGTGAGAACTGCCATTCTCCAATGGGTATACTAGAAGTGGGACAGTGCCATTTCCCGTGAGAACTGCTGTTAATGCATCCTTCACCGAGGTTTCAAATCCTATGTATTTGGATGAATATAGAGGCAGAGGAAGGCGATGAACAGTGTCATCGACTCTTTGATATTTTCCAAAAAAAGGTTATCTTATTTTTGTTATTTTATAAAATTATTATCTTTTATTGATATTCAGGACAAAGAGTTGCCCTTATAAGAAAAAATAGAAAAGAAAATTACGCCCATGTCCCAACTCCAAGTAAAGGCGAGGGTTCGAACAAACAGAATAGCTCCCTTTTTCAGGAGATGTTCCCAATACACGACGGCGGTGTTTTGTGGGTATAGATTTGGGAAGAAGTAGTGAGTAGCAGATCCGGAATCTCGAACAAATCTTTTCGGGCTTGCATTTTCGTTCTTCCCTGTCCCCTTCCAATTCTCAGTATCAGCTGCTCAGGTGCTCACCTCTGACAACATGCGCGACGGCGATTCACGGTGACCGATGATCGGCGGTTGAGCAGCATTTGCAGCGGCCACTGCTAGTTTTTAATTTTTTATATTTTTCTTATAAGCGGCAGGTGGTTGTTTTCATATTTTTCTTTCAGCGGTGACCGGTTGTTTTTGTAGCGGCCATCGATCGGTTTTTTAACTTTTTATATTTTTCTTATAAGCAGCGGGCGGTTTGTTATTTTACTTGATCAGCGGTGATCGGTTGCTTTTGCAGCAGAAAACGGCGACTGGCGGTTTTTGCAGCGGTGACCAGCGTTTTTTCCTCTGTGTAAGTCCAACATCAGCACACCATCATTACCGGAGAAGGTGATGTTTTTTTATTTTTTAATCAAAATAGTGCTATTTTACAATTTTTTTTTTATTTTTTTGAATTCAAGTAGTGCTATTTGAAAGATCATATGCAATACATCCCACTCACAATAATTTAATTGCAGAAAATAAGCACAGAATATTCTATTGGGCATATGATTCATGTTGTCTCTAATCTAATTTTTTCTGTATTTTTTGCAATTTTCTGTGTGTTTTCTATATTTTTGAAAATTTCTATATTTTTTCGATGTTTTTTATATTTTTTATATTTAGATTGTTTTAATTTACTTTTAGCGAGGGGCGCCCGTGCTGAAAAAATAATTGGAAGAGTAAAAAATGAAGAAAAAGAGTAATATATGTGATTGTAAAATTAACTAATTTCTTTTATTACAAAAATAATGTTCATGCACAACTCTTCTAATTAACATGGTCCTGTAGGAACTGCAATCATTATTCATAATGCAAATAATCTACAAGTAGCAGGCATCAACATACCTCACTTGGATGGGACCCAATCCCTGAAAATGTAAAGCATGAATATATCAAACAAGAGGATTCTAGTTTGGAAATTGCTAAGACGCATCATAGCAATACAACTCATTCACCCCACACAAAGTATATTGCTTATGCAAGGTTATGGCCCCTGTTAGTTAGGGGTGAGAAAAAAAATTGAAAATTTGATTAAAATTATATCGAAAGTTGGTTAATTAAATTGATCGATTCGATTTTAATTTGGTATTTTGATCTTAAAAATAATAATGTTATTAATATATTTATAGAATTTATATGTATTTTTTGGCATAGTTATATTATACTGATACTTTAATTCTTGCTCACAACAAATAACCAAGGAAAGTGGAACTCTCAATTAACAGATTAAGAATAATTCCAAAAAACAAAAACCCGGTATCAATGTAGTTCCAAAGGGAAATTATGTACTCAATGAATCATTGTTACATCAGATTGGAAATGTGTAGACCAAGAAAACAAAAGCTTACATGTCAAAACAAAAAAGAAAATAAAAGAAATAGAAAGAAAGCGAAGAAACTTTAATTGACATCACAATAAATAAATAAATAAATAAATAAATAAAAGAACTAAAAAAACCATTTTAGGGTTTCTCACCGAGAGAAAGGCAGAGAAGAGAGAGGAAAAACTACTATGATTGCTACTTAGGGCTTCCAAGCAACAGAAATTTCTCACGAGAGAGTAAGCCAGATGGTCTCAGCAATGATGTCCTTATCATCCGAGAAGAAGTCTGAGAATAACTGAACACAGGTAAAGTAGAAAACCCTAAATAGAGAGAGAGAGAGAGACTGGACCTCGAGATTCGGTAGCGATGGGAATATTGAAGATAAGGCAATGGTGAAAGCCTATGAAGGCCAACGATCGAGAAATGTTGAAGATGAGGCAATGGTGAAAATCTGAGAAATGGAGAAATTGAAAGTCAAAATTTTTCGTTTGAATTATAAAGATCAAAATATAGAAGAAAACAAAGAAAGAAGCATTGATTGATACCACAAAACAACAATAAAAAAATTAATGATACCTGTTTGAAACTTCTACAGACAAGGGCATTGGGAGCTTTTCTTGGTAATGGGTTACAGATATAACCCTCTCCCAAACCCCTAAGCCCCATTTCCCGTATGAAAGGTTGAACGTTGAGNCCCCCCCCATTCTCATTGAATAAGCGGGTCAGTCCGAGACCTTTGAGGTCTGTGAAGAGAGAGCGAAAGACAATGGGAACATGGAAGAGAAAAAATGTGAAAATCTCGAGAAGACGAACCGAATGAGAGGAAAGAAAATGAGGGGAATAAGAAAGGGAAGAGAGAGTCTTGGGAGGCAAGTTTCTCCTCGGGTGAAGTCTAGAGAGAGACAGGTGGTATGTAAAATCTTTGTAAATCTGAAGAGAGAGAGAGACAGGCGATTGGTTAGTTTAGGCATACGAGAGAGAGCTAGACTTGTAAGTATGAAGAGAGAGAGAGTCGATCCTCGGGCAGGTGGACGAGGGGAGCCGGGAGAAAGGCAATGAGAGAAAGGGTGAGCCGAGAGAGAAATGGAGGGACACGTGTTGGCAGTTAAAAGCAACACACATCAAGTAGAAAAAGCCATTCCCACGCATCCCAGCCGTTATAAGAATATAGTTTGATAAAAGATATGATTTTTTTCCGTAATTTTTATGATTTTTTCTGTATTTTATTTAATTTATATTATTTATAATTGTTTTTAGTTTTAAATTTATTTTGACATTACAGGTAGAACCGTTCGACCCGAACGGTTGAACCAGCAAACCGAAAACGGGTCTCTTGTCTGGTTCTGTTTTCGGGTCGGTTTTCAGAACCTTGGCTCCAAGTTTTGAAAAAAAAAATCTAAAATATGCTCGAACATGAGCATGAATAAGGACGCTATGTGGATCAAACTGTTTCTCTTGGAATAGGAGCTTATTACATGCCCACCAAATAAACCACAACACCACTGAAACTAGGGCTGCAAGTTGGGCCGGGTTAGGTCAGGTTGGGATTAATCCTAGCTCAACCCTAAGTTCTAAACCCCCAACCCTAACCCTAACCCAACCCTAAACCTAACCCTAAATAAATTCCTTCAACTCTAACCTAACCCAAAACCAACTTTAGGTTAGGTTGGGCTTGGGTTAGGCCCAACCCAACCTTCTTCCCATCCCTTATAATCACGTAGAACTTCTTAATCTCAAATCTTAACTCAACTTTCACTACATATATTAATCCTATGTTTTATTAGTATTTGTTTGTTGATGTTTTTATTGGTTTTTTAAATACGAAATTTAAAAAAAAAGTGTTTGAAATGTATAATTTATTATGAGTTATGACTTATAATAGTTCTTTTATGGAATTATGGGCAACAAGCTATGGGTGGCAAACAATTGAGAGGAGATAAAGAATAAAATATTCAAAAAACATAAAATATGTTATTAAAGTTTTGGTATTTCCAATTAGCATTAACTGAAGTGATTATCTTAAAAAAAATAAATGATAATATATGGTGGGGGCTATACAACTATCATGCATCTAAACAAATCAATGTATGATATATCATATATAATATATTTCTTATATTATATATACTATAGAGTCGTGTTTGGATTGCTTGAGGGGTCAAAGTACCTAACCCAACCCGAAGTAAAGTTGGGCTCATAAATTTCAATCCTAACCCTAACCCAAGCATCAACGCGATCCAACCCACTTGTCGGGTTGGGTTAGGGCCAACTCGGCCCAAGTTGCAGCTTTAACTGAAACTTACACTCGTCAACTAGTCCCAAGCATTAGACCTGTTCATGGGCTGGGTAGCCCGATGGCTCGGCCCGTGCCCCCGGTCAGGCTTGGACATGTAATTAAACCCGCGGGCCCAAAACGCCAAGCTTGATTGTGTGTTGGGCCGGGTTTGGGATTTGTCAAAAAAGCCCGACCTAACTCATTTATATAATATAAAATGTATAGTATTTATTATAATATATATATATATATATACGTTTTTTATTTTTTTCTTTATAATTTCTCTGTCTATTCAGCCGTTTCAGCAACAGCATGAGTTATATACTTCGAGCTCCATCCCAAGCCTGGGCTTCGGGCTTTTTATGAGGGTTGGGCTCAGGCCCAAGTTGTAGGCCTATTGGTCGGGTCGAGCTCGGGCTTGGGCCTTAAAAAAATCTGTTAATACAGAGTGAAAGCCCGGCCCAGCCCATGAACAGATCTACCGAGCATGTTTGCTTGATCGAGCCCGGCCCGTAAAGACGTCTATTCAATCTCTCAAATTGGTAATTTCATTTCGCCCGATCAAACGGTTAGATTCCAATTCCGATTCTAAACCCTTATTCCCGCGAACCAAACGGACCTTTGAGGGTCAAAGGCCGGAACATCGGCCATTGCTGTAATTGAACCGGTTCGATTCCGACGAATTCTCCTCCTTCTCGCCTTTGCATTCCTCGACTCTTCGTTTCACCCTCCACTTCTCCTCTTTCCTCCTTTTCATCCCCTTCGTATTTCACATAAGGGCTAGTCCTTTGAATTGCAGAACGCCCTACTTGGTCGGCACCATTGCAGTCGGATTCCAAACAAATCCAGCTTCAAGGAACGCTCCCTACAGTTCTTCCACACGCAGGTAAGTGCTGTTTTCGGGTTTCTTTATGGGCTTCCTGTTCTGATTGAAAAGACAGAAAGGTTAGGGCTTCATCCATGTTGCTATCCTTCTAACAATGAGTCGAAGTTGGTCCCAAGAGAGGTGAGAGGGTTGGGGGGCGGACCCCGGTAACACCACCCTCGTTGGGTCCAACCAGGGATGCATTGAGCAGATTAACAATGCCCAAACCTTTCTTCGTATTCGGTTAAGCTCTTACATATGTATTGTTTGATTGTTGCTCTGACTGAAATGTAAGGAGGGGGTTCATCTTTTAGTCAGTGCTTTCCCCTTCATAGGTGGGAAGAAGAGCTTGAACAAATTGGTGCAACCCGATCCCTCTCTGTATGGTTCTTACAAAGGGGTGTTTCTGCTAATTTCTCTTTTGTTTCTACTTGGTATCCTGCGTCTCTGTAAGGTGGTGGCTGCTCTTAGTCTTGCTTTGGCTAGACAGAAACAGCCCCCGCCCCTCGGTGTTTGTATTAATTTTTGTATGAGTCAAATATTTTACACTCTGGCTTGAATTTGTAGCTCCTAACATGTTTCAGAAAATTTGAGCCTCTCCCTCTCCGTGGCTAATGTAAGCCTGGACTCTACCTGAAAGCAAGCACAACTAGAGAATAGTGGCTTCAATGTGCTTCATTGCTGAACCCAGCCTTTTAGCATCTCACTTATAAAAACAAAAAAACAAAAAAAAACCTTTAGCATCTCTGAAAAAATGAACAATAACATGTTAAGTCCTTGAACTCATAGAAGATTTCTTTTCAATTCCTTTAGATTTACTCAGCTATCAGTTTTAGAATGGTTCTTGAGTGATAATTTTCCAGATTTCCCAAGCAGGTTTTCAATTATTAACTGTATGATGTCCAAAATATTAGATTTATCTTTCAAGTCTTCAACTTTTGATCCCTCTAATGAAATAGATGTTCATTTGGAGATTCAGAACATTTTTAATGCCAAATGATGTCTGGAAATAATGTGAATGTCCTTTTTGAGCGTCTTGTAAGAACCTTCAATTCCTCCTTTTCTTAAATGAAGTAGATATTGTTATTTGAATTATCGATTGTTGGAGCAATGCCAAGTGCTGCATTAAAGTAGATGTTTACCTTAGTTGCTTCTTGAATCATTAAGCTTATTATATTGACAAGTGACAACACAGTCACCTCATTTATTCAAATTGTATTTAAGTTATGCATCACATTTGTCGCTCTCATAAGGGATGTCTTTTTCATTAGTCTCTAACATATGCAAGTACATTAGATAGTTTAGCTCCCTTATTCTCATATGGTTAAGCATCATTTAAGCTGAGGTGTTTCTAGTTCATGTGCAATAATCTCCCTTGGATTTCTTGGATCTCATCCTTTTGCTCAAATCAAAACTTCGGAATTGGCATCTATATAGGAAAGAGAGAGGGGTGCCTAACACCTTCCCTCTCTTTTTTCCCAACTTACCTAGATAGCTTCTTCTTAGTGTTGGACTCATTACAAATCAAAGTAGTTTTCAGTTTCAATGTTGGGAGTCTCATCACTGCCATCGCTTCTCCATGATGAGTGGCAGCTCCAACACTTCAGCCATGAAGTGAGCCATTTTCTGGCTCTCACATTGAAAATCTGACCTATCAGTGGAATTTTGCTAGATCACTTGGTCACAGATTATTCCTCACCTATAATGATCTGAATGGAATTATGGAATGTGGGATGTTTAAAAAAAAACATTTCAAGAATTTTATCTGAAGGGCAGAGCATAGTAGGGATTATCTACGAATTCAAAAGGAATACTCAAATTCATCTACAGTATGTAGTGGAGAAAGGAAGGTTTTAGACTCTAATAGGCTAGAGAAAGTTAAGAGAATTCTTAACAAAATTTGTGAAATTCCTTAATTAGTTTCCCTCAACTTTCTTTTTTCTCCTATTTTATATCAAATCAAACACAGCCTAAAGGAAACAAAAAAAGAGTTCTGTGTTCAACTTTCTGCTCAACCATATAGCAAGTTTCTAATCATGTTTGGCAAACTGCAAGATGCGACAAAATAAATGGCTCAGTTGAATAAAATGCAGAAACCAAAGCGTAAAAAAGGGAAAAGAGGGAGAGTAGATGGGAGGATCAGGATTAAAAAAGAATATAAGGGGCCTAAACTAAAATAAAAGGAGTAACTAATGGGACATCCGCCAAACTCGCACAATTAACATAAAACATGAGTAAATGGACAGCTGTCCAAAACATGGATGTTGTGCAATAGATAATAAGAAAATCCTTCAATAAGTTGATTGAGCTTGGTGAAGACTTGAGAGCAGCTTGTTTTGGGACTTGAGAACAGCTTGATTAGCTGATTACACAATCTTGATTGTGGAGCTTAGAGAATTGATCAGATAGTTCTAAAATTATTTTCTGTAAATGAAAGGAAAGCTGTCTCCTATGTAAACCTGTATTTGCCATACTTGGATAATTAGAGACATTTTTTTCTTCTTTTCTTTTGATAGAGAGGACCAAATTCTGTCCATGCACTGCTAATGTGGTATTATTTGTAATTTCATACATAATTTGCAGACTATACTGTTAATAATTTTCTTGTGTTTATTTTTGAAAGGATTTTTCTTTTAATATTTATTCATTTATTTTGTTTTCTTTACAACAGCAAGCTGGTTCCGATAATCTGCAATGTATGGGATCTTCCGTATGCCATTCCGATCCTGGAGACTGGTTCATACATGGTCTCAGGACGGCCCTAGTGAAACCCTGAAGACAAAAGTGGCCAAAATGCAGAAGATGAGGAAGAAGAAGAATCCTAAGGACGAATTCATTGTCTATGTCCCAGAGTCAAAGGCTTTTCTTGACACACTGACCATGCCAATGGTTCTCACTGCTGTAGCTGTTGCTCTCTTTGCTAAGGTCCTCATGATGGTATGACAATTTGAACTGTTAAAGAAAATTGGATTCTATACCATAAAGTTGAATCTGTTTGTGTTGTGCCATCAATATTGTTCACACACTTCATTCTAGCTCTAAAGTTTAAGCTGCTTGCCCGTAGGCTAACCTGTTCACGGGCCGGGCTTCGGGCCTGACTTACACTGTGTCAGGCTTGGGCTTCAGGTCGGGCCCCATTCAAAATTTGGCAAAAGCCAAGCCCGAGCCCGGCCCATGCTGTAGGCCATAGCACAGTCATAACCTTAGTTCAAGAGGGAATCGGTGAAAATACAAGGGGTTTTCTGCTTGGGGGTTTGTTTAGAAATGCAGGTAAAATTGTATGACTGATTTAGCTAGGGTTTTAAGGGTGCAACTGCTTTGTGAATTATGCCTATGCTTCGCATTGCTGCATCCACTTTTTGAACTGGACGTGCAAGGCTTGTGAATATTCTTTTCATTGGTGTTCAACACTTTACCCTTTCAAAAAGAAAATGATAAAATGGTTTTCTTATGGAACACATGTTGGAAGAGTAAAGATCTAGATTATTACAAATAATGTAGTAGTTTAAATTGTAATTTGACCTTTGTTGGGTGATGCCGAGGTCGGTAAAAGAGCTGTTATGCTGCTGGCATATCTTGGGCTTGAGCAAGAAAAAGAAGACTTTATGGAAGATGATTCCAAGTACTGTAATTTGGTGTATCTGGACCGAGAAGAATAGAAGGGTGTTCAGTAACATGTTTCTAAGTCTGGAGGACTTAACCCAGAAGTTAGTGGGCAAGCTGATTTCTTGGTTGTCTGTGGCGGCAGATTTTAGAAACTGTAATGTGTCAGATGTATTATTTTCTTTGTCTTGATGGCTTGTGTAATTGCTGAATAGATCAGTCAGCCTGTTTTGGGACTGATCTCAGCCTCTTGTGTGTATTTCATTCTCAATAAATATTACTTTACCTTTTCCAAAAATGAAAAAAAAAAAATCCTTTGCCTGGTGTGCCCTCATGCTGTTCCATACATGTATGCTTTTGGGGGATATCTGGACTGCATATTCAATGTGTTCAATCTTGAAGATTACTAACTTGTTCTGGAAGATTGATGATTTGATTTTCTTTGTCATCTCTGATTCAATTTGTGAGTTGGTGGTATTATGGTTTTAAGACTTCTGGGATTTCCCAACTATTCAAAGTCTGGCGTCTGAACTACTTGCATGCATGATGCAAAAAGTAGTGGTGGAGGCTGAAGCTTCATGTTATTTCTTGCGACCACCTCTTTCATTTCTATTTTTGCTTTGCTTGCAGCATGAACATGAATTAGTCATGCTACTTGAGTTTTGACTTTTGTGATTATTTATTATTATGTGTGGTATGATTGTGTTGACAGTATGATGAATCCAAATCCCAAGAGAGGATCGAGCGCAAGATACGGAATGCTCCTGCAGGTCAGGGTACTGTTAGGATGCTTAGTCGTGAAGAATGGGATGAAATCCAAGAAGTGAGGCCAAGGACTCCCTTCGAATCCAAACTTGCCCGCCCAAATGCACGCTTAAGAACTGGTGAACCATTACATTTGGTGAGGCACATGATTCTGTTGTTACTGCATTTACTATGCAATATATATATATATATATTTTAGCATGCTGATTATGATAAAATATATCAACTCTAATGATCATCTTAGCTACTTGCCATAGTTCAGAAAGCTCCTTCATGTGAAGCATATTCATGAATATCTTTTTAAAGTGACTTTTCACATAGCCAACACTGACGGTGGAATCCTTAGTGTTTTACCTATTGGATCATTAAGCATGGTGCTTCATGAGCTAGTGCATCTTTGTTTGTTGGTGTTCCAGGACCTCAGTTTTTGTTCTGTCAGTGTATTGTTTGCATTTAGCTTTACATTAATTTCAAGAAATAGTCACTCTTAGATTAGTCGAATTCTGTTTCCTACTCCAAAATTCTTGATCACCTTATGGTTAAGATATGATCAATGCAATTACAGAATGGGGATGTTAAACAAAGATGTTTATAAATTAAAGCATCACCATCCACTATTTTAGAAAGAAGACTTCATAAGCTTTCAAGATACAAATGTTCATGATCACAATATAGTGCCTGTTTGGGAGGGCTTGAACATTGATGCTCTTGTGTGGGATGGGGCCTACTCAGCAAGACTATAAGATGTTTGGTGAAAAATCTGGAGAGCTGAAACTGATTATTTTTCAGCTGCTTACATTGGCTCTCCCATGAAGTTTCTTTTGGTGGCTTCTTCAAAGCAGCTCAGCTAAAGCAACTCAAGCAAAGCTTAAGCCTTCACAAACAGGGCAATAGTACAATTAACAAGCTCTCTCAATTTGATTGAAATACCACAATGAAAAAGATGGAAAAGGCCCTAGTACTTCCAATAAGAAGATGAAATTCTCTCACATCCTACATGCTATTTATAGCCTTAGCCTTTGCTTTGTTTTTTATGCATTCAATTGGGAAGATTTCCTTGGTGCGACTTCTGATGAGAATCTAACTTGCATTGTGCTGACAAGCTAACAAATAGAGCCTTTGAGGATGGTATTACCTCAGTCCCTTGTAAGAGTAGTACACCAGATGCTGCATATCCATCTAAGGTGAGATTGAGATATTCCTGCATTTAGAATTTATACTTGATTATACTAGGGGCCATTGCTTGATGTAATGGTAAAATCTCAGGCTGACAAGCATGATAAAGTGAGCTTGAGTCTGAAAGTGGCCACTTTGTGGGGGAAAAAAGCCAAAGATTAAAGCTTCAATTCTTTCTTTTTAAAACTTAGTTTACTAAGTAGCAAAAATTCCATGATTCTCTTCCAGTGCCTGGTAAACAGTTGGCACTAAAATGCTCTCATCCAACTTAATCACAGTAGACAAACTTTGTTGCCCATGATCTTTGAAGCTATCTCTGCAACATCTCATTCTACGTGTCAGGAGAACTCTTTATATTGCCCTTTTGTGAAGGTTACGTCTGAAGAATAATTTACACATGATGTAGAGAATTTACATTCTTGGCTTTATTCTCAAGTGTGTGACATCAATCTGTATACACAATTATCAGATGCAAAGAATTACTATATAGCATTAGCCACCAGCAGGACATATTAAATTTTAAGTTAGACTGGAAGTTCTTGCCCAATCTCCAAATGGATTATAATCAATGAATGTTTTTGCAATTATGAGACAACCCATCTTTTGTTAGTTCTGTTTAGAAGGAAGAGCTATGGAAAGGACCATGTATTCTGGAATCCCAATTACTTCTGCATATTGTTGGAGGTTGTGGAAGGAATTTATAATTAGATCTTTGAAGGAAAATACTGTCTTCTCAACGTAGTGCAAGTAAATATTGAAAATTTACTTTTCTTGATCATCTATGTTAAAGAGCTCCATGGCTTAGAGTTCAGTTGCATAAAGGCATTTGGAGTCCAGCATTTTTTTTGTTATTTTTTTTTTTTCAGTTCGACTGTACATATCTCTAGATTTTATAAATGGGTTGTGCCCCCCGCAATATGGATATGGCATCTTTTCTCAACAAAGACGAAACAGAAAATATCCTAGATCACGTGAAATCATGAGAGAATATGAAAACATTTATTGCATCTAGTTAACTATTGATGCTTAGCTATAACTTTAGCCTTCTGTTTTCTTCTCTTTTTCGATTTTCTTTTCCCCGTTTTTTCCAATATTGTTTCTGAGTGCAGATGATTCATGTTCTTTCTATTTTCATGAACAAAGGTAACTGATTAGTATCAATATGATTACGACTTTATTCTGATGTTATTGGTTATAAAGATATAAAATGATTTTTTTTGGTAATAGATATAAAATGATTTTGAGATGCAGGAAGATGTGAAGGATTGGACCATTGATGTGCTCACTGATGCATTCACCAGGGCTGAAGAAACTGTAAGGAGTGCCAAATGACCCATGGTTAAGTTCTGTTTTACATTTTGTAAAATGGTTCCCCTCGATGAATTTTGAAAGCCCTTTTTCAAAGTCCGGGTTGGGAAAGATAATAAGGAGGTTGAGCCAGTGGCATAATGATTTAAGTATTTAACCGGTGGAATGGAAAATCATCTGTTCATTCACTGTAATCTGGAAGATTGTCATTTGAGACATCACATGTAATTATATATATACTGCCCAATGGAGTTAATTTTAGGCATTAGATACCTGTCCTGTCGGTGAGATTTACCGATTCATTTTTGACAGTTATATCTGTATCAGGTTATTGGTTTTTGAGGTCATGAAATTGACCTTATTTCTAGTTTATTACCATCTGGGAGTGATCCATCTTATACAATGAATGGATAAATGCGTTTTATATGTTCATAAGAAACTTGAATAATATAATTTCATATTTTAGAACCTCTCTAGTATTTATTAACCACCTGATGATCTGTTATTGTGTGGTCGTTGTACACATCGTGAAACTACGACCACTCTTCATCTTTTAAATGACTTTTGCAAATGGTCTGGTCAGGAAGTTAATTTTTCAAAATCAACAATTTTCTTTAGTCCAAATACTTATCGATGAGTGTGAATTCAACTATCCAATCGTTTTGCTGTGAATATTATGAACCGTACAAAGAAATATCTTGGAGGCCCATTATTCTTGGGTAGATTAAAAACTGGTGAATGGAATTATGTGATYGATAGATTGAAGTCCAAACTTAGTTCTTGGAAGAAACACACTTTGAGCCATGCAAGTTACACAACTTTAATCAAATCCACTCTACAAGCTGTACCTCAATACATCATGCAGTTTTATCTCTTACCTAAAACTATTTGTACTGATCTTAATAATATTTGTAGGCATTTTTGGTGGTCTGACTTAGATAAGCATGGTCTTCATATGCGTTCTTTGGATACATTCTTGAGATCAAAAGATGAGGGAGGACTTGGATTCTATGATGCATCAGCTCTTACTGGTTGGCACCTCCTTTCCAACCCATCAGCTCTTTGGGTGAAGGTGTTAGGGACAAAATATATCAAGACTAAAAATTTCTCGTTTGTACTACTATTGCCCTCCGAGTCGTACATTTGGCAAGGCATTTTAAAGCTGAGAGATATCTTGTGCCAAGGTTGCCATTGGCTTATTGGGGATGGGTGGACTATTGATGCAATGCACGACCCTTGCCTACCAATTGGGGTTATTCCCTCTACCTTGGCTCCCACACCAAACCACAACATTAAAGTTGCAGAGTTTATTGAGCACTTCTCTATGACTTGGCACAATAATCAAATTGCAGCTTCCTTTGATTCACTTACTGCTCATTCTATTGTCTCCATTTGACTTCCCTTACAGGCTAACACAATGCCAGACAAACTAGTTTGGAAGCTGACACCTCATGGACGCTATACTACAGCATCAGGTTACAAACTTATAACTTTTATGCATCCCACTTCTTCAAGACAACAATTTCTGACTTCTAACATTACTTGGCGTCAATTCTGGAGCCTCAAGATTGTCAATCCTAAATTACTCTTCACTTGGAGGTTGATCCAAAATGCTTTACCCACTACATACAATTCTTTATTTCTGCAACGACATATGTCCTTTGTGTGAATCGGCTACAGAGACAATGGATCATTTATTTTTGCATTGCCAATTTTTTAGATTGGTTTGGTTTGGTTCCTCTATGAGCTTTAGGCCTGATTCATACCCGGAGAGAAGCTTATCAGAATGGATTGCTGAATGGATTTCTCTTTATTTGAGTAACGGTCAATCTTATGGTTTGATTTGTAGTTAGTACTTCTATATCCTTTGGCACATTTAGCTTGCTCGGAATGCCCTCATATTCAATCATCAACACCAATACCTAGAATTCATTATAGATAGAAGAGGCTCGTGTGGATTGGCAGTTGCATTCTGATGTTATTCATCACTCTTTAGTGGTACCTAATGAGAATGTTTCTTTGACCCCAACTACAACAATCCATTGGATTCCACCACCAAGAGGTAGTGTGAAAATCAATTTGGATGGTGCCACTGCTACTGATAAATCTGGCATTGGTATTATTATTCGGGATGATAATGGATCATTTCTTTTTGCACGCACTATTCCGATAGCACCTCAGTCTACACTCTTCAGTGAAGCCTTAGCTCTTTTGGAAAGCTTTCGTTTTGCCTCTTCTCTTGGTATTTCTTTTGTTGTAATTGAAGGTGATGCACAACTTTTGATTAATCTTTTGTTGGAGGATACCCTTACACGTCCATGGAGTATCTACACTCTTCTTATGGATTGCAAGAGATTCATATCCCACTTTCAAGACTATTCAGTTACTTTTGCTCCTTGGATTTGTAATCAGGTTGCCCATAGACTTGCTAAACATGCTTTGTCTTGTAATTCAGCGCAACGCACTCTTGGTCTGTGGCACCTACTTTTTTTATTCTTTCTTTGGAATCCGATGTAACTGAATAATTGTTGAATGGATCAGCCTTTGGGCATTTTCAAAAAAAAAAAAGAAAGATAAACTCAAATTCAGCAGTCAAACTTGGATCTCGTACCCACAAACTCCCCCAAACAAGAGTCCGGATCTCTTGCTCACGAGAACCTTGCCCACGTTTGTTGCAGCCACACATGGAGAACATCCCATCCTCTTTATAGTATTATGCAGGGGGAGATGTTCCTAATTCACGGGGGGTGGTGTATTGTGGGTAGGCATGGGCAGGGTTCTCATGAGTAGGAGATGGAGTCCCCAAACACCTATATTTTGCATAGGGTGACCCGCAGATATGTATACGTTGGAAAAATTTTAACCTTGCTTAGTTCAATCCAATCGCAGCTACAACTTAGAAAGGGATTGGAACTTGAAGTGGGCGGTGGGCCTATCATCTTTTTATGGGCAACATATCTTGGTGTGTGATACGGGATTTGCTCCTCACACAGTGCTCTTTTCACCAACCTCAATACATTCAGCCATGCATTTGACTTGAGAATATCAGAATATCTTCAGTACGTGTATTTCATTATTCACGGGTGATGTTCCCAATGCACAGCTGTGATGTAGTGAACTGAAGCAAGTGGGTAGGATTGACAGTTGAGGATGTTGACTGTTTTTCTTCATTGCTGCCCAAACATTTTTGCCACGTATCTGAAAATTGAGGTTCTTGTTCTTAAAAGTAAAAAATAACGACGAGGCTTAACCATAAGGGAGGTTTAGGTGTTTATTTTTAAACAATCTATTTATCTATTTTATATATTTAAAGCAAGATTGTCCACATCAACATGTCTTTTCTTGCTCTAAATACCTCTTCCTAATTTTCTATTTTTATTGAATTTTTGTTTATTTAATTCTACATAATTACCCATTAAATCAATAAGGAAGCAACATAGGCTAAATTATCTCTAAAAACCAATAGATAAAGAAATAGGAATTTGGTTTTTTTAATGTCTAGCGGACTAGTCAACTAGCACCGCTATTCCCAACTTTCTCTTAAATTACAAAATCCATGATGAAAATATGTACTAACAATATAAATTATAATTTTACGGATTACTAAATTTAAATGTTATTCAAATAATAAAAGTTTAACATTGAAAACAAAATAGATTTAAATATTTCAATAACTAAATATCTTAAATAACAAAATATTAAAAACAACAAAATAATTATATAACAAAATACTTAATATTATGTAATAACTTTAAAATAAATAAAGTCAAATAACAAAAATTTTAAATATTTTACATATTATTTAAACATTTAAACAACAAAATATTTAACATAACTAAATTTTAAATAGTAAAAATAATGAAATTATGTAATAATAGTATAGATTATTAAATTCAATAAATAATTTAAAAATTTTAAATAATGATATTATTTAAATAAATAAATAATGTTGTGAAAAACTAATTTCACTTATATCAATTAATAATTATAGAAAATAACTTTCAAAAAATTAATATTTACTAATAATAATTTTAAAATCTTAGTCTATATTTATTATATATTTATATATAATAAATTAATATTTATTGCATTTTTTGATAAATGTATTTTCAATAATAATGTATAAATCTATTTTGTTTTGTTATTTAACAAAATATTTTCAATAATTATTTGAGATTGAACTACTGTTATTTAACATTTTAAATTTAATTTATTGTACTTATTGTTTTTATTGTATTTTTATTATAAATTTTATTTTTAGTAACTATGCATTTTTATTATAATTTATTGACTAATATTTATTAGTGATTAAACTATTATTTGAGATTACACTATTTATAGACAAATTTAATATATTTATTGTATTTTTATTAGTTATTTATTGTATTTTCATTATAAACTTATTTTCAATAATTGTGTATTTTGCTATAAATTTTCAGTAATTATTGGAGATTAAACTATTGTTATTTATTAGAGATTACACTATTAATTTAGTTGAAATTAGGAGTGTTCAAGGGTCTTTAACCATTAGTGAAAATCAACCAACTCAGATTGTATTGGTTTGAGCTGATTTTCGGTTTGGTCAATTGATTTAAAATATTTAAACTTAAAAAATTAAATTTAAATTTAAAAATTTACAATGATATTATTAAAAATAAATAAATAAATTTAAATTTATAACATAAAATATTTTAAATTAAGAAATATGAGAATTTTGTCATTTTTCAATATTAAAAAAAATATTTAAAATGTTATAGAGAGAGATTGAAAATCGTGCCTTGATGATAAACCGGCCGAGTATCTTCAAGGCTTGTCAACAAGTGGTTACATGGATATAGATTGAAAAGCTTATCCAAACGACCTCCTCCATTCCATGAGAAAGTTGGGACACACACAAACAGAGGGAAGTCTCTGACGCAATTGGACATGGCGGCATTGTTCGGAGCCACTTCTTCCTCCATCTCTGCCTCTCGGCTCCCCACTTCTCACTCTTCAAAACCTTCGTTTTCTTGCCTCTCTTCTGCTACAGGTACGTTAGGGAACAAGCATCAAAACTCTCCTGTTCCTATCAGTCTACCTGTCCATCTTTCTTTCCTTTGTTGTTGTTGTTGTTGTTTATTTTATTTTATTTTTTTTTGCATTCTTAGGTTTTTGTACATGGGTAAGTCTTTCACAGTGTTTTCCAATGCATTTGCTAGCTTAAAATTTTCCCATTTTTGTTTAGTTTATTTTCTCAGATTCTAACATCATGGATGATTCATCAAGTCTGACCTAGTTAAGTATCAAAATTTCAAATTTCTTTCTATTTTCTTTTGCATTCTCAAATTTCTGGAACGCATAATCCTTACTCCCCCGTTCCCCCTTAGAAAAGAAAGCAAATTAGTAAATGGATAATAACAATAAACAGTCCATCCTTCGATATTCTTGAAAGCTTAACTTTCCATTCTTTTTAATTTCTTTTAGATTCTTGAATTTCGACATGGATGAGTTCTATCCATTTCGTCTCCATTGCTTTGGTTTGCTTAATTCCTCGGTTTTATGACGATGAAGACAGCCGGGATTTAGTATACTTTAGGCGAGAAGAAGCTAACCATTCTTCTTCTTCTTCTTCTTCTTCTTCTTCTTCTTCTTCTTCTTCTTCCTGTTGTTACTATTACTGTTTGCTTTATTATTATAATAGTTATTTAATGCACAATTCGTTGATCTATACTTGCAGGCCAGATTTATGGGAGGAAATTTTATGAAGGGATCAGAATTCCCCTCAAGAAGGGAAGATCTCAGGTCCACGCTGCAGTTACAAATATAGCCACAGAAATTAGTTCCACAGAACAGGTTGTATTCCGTATCTTGGCTTTTCTTCTTTCACCCTCGTGTTTTGTTTTCAGTTAAATCAGTTAAACGTAATATTAATTTCATAAAATGCAAGTTTAATCGGGTAGCTTGAATCCTATCCGGAATTCGGGAATCACAAAGTTTATAGAGTTAGATCTGCTGCACTTTTTGTCTATGGACTTCCATTCAATCTGTGACAAGTGTGCCATTACATTGTGGTCTCACGTGTATGGGTATTTATACATGTTTAATGGGATGTCTATCATAGACTCAATGGGTGTGCAGGATAAGTGCCGGGAAAAAAGTGCGGCAGATCCCAACTCTGTTTCTGGATGAACTGGGAAATAGGCTGAGATTGATCAGTTAAACACTAATTGCTCTGAGGGAAGTGTCTAAAGCTAAATTTGAGAGAATTAGTAGTAAATCTTTTAGCCATGTCACTTTTCAGGTTCAGAAGCTCGCATCAAAGGAAAGTCAGAGGCCAGTGTACCCCTTTTCTGCTATAGTAGGGCAAGATGAGATGAAATTGTGCCTTTTACTAAATGTGATTGATCCCAAGATTGGAGGTGTCATGATCATGGGTGACCGTGGCACTGGGAAATCCACCACGGTGAGGTCTTTGGTGGATTTGCTTCCTGAGATCAAAGTGGTTGCTGGGGACCCCTTTAACTCTGATCCAGATGACCCAGAAGTAATGGCAATGGAAGTCAGAGAGAAGATCTTTGAAGGAGAGAAACTCCCTGTCCTGACAACCAAAATTACCATGGTGGATTTGCCCCTAGGTGCTACTGAGGATAGAGTCTGTGGAACTATTGATATTGAGAAGGCCCTCACTGAGGGTGTCAAAGCATTTGAGCCTGGTCTTCTTGCTAAAGCTAATAGAGGTATTCTTTATGTGGATGAAGTTAACCTTTTGGATGACCACTTAGTGGATGTGCTGCTGGACTCTGCTGCATCTGGATGGAACACGGTTGAGCGAGAAGGGATATCCATTTCACATCCAGCTCGTTTTATTCTGATTGGTTCTGGAAATCCTGAAGAAGGTGAGCTCAGGCCACAGCTTCTTGACCGGTTTGGTATGCATGCACAGGTGGGAACTGTGAAGGATGCGGAGCTCAGAGTTAAGATCGTGGAGGAGAGGTCAAGGTTTGACCGAAATCCTAAGGAATTTCGTGAATCCTACAAGGCAGAGCAGGAGAAGCTCCAACAACAAATTGCCTCAGCCAGGAGTTATCTTTCTTTTGTTCAGATTGATCATGATCTTCGGGTGAAGATCTCTAAGGTCTGTGCTGAGCTGAATGTTGATGGATTGAGAGGTGATATTGTGACAAACAGGGCTGCAAGAGCTTTGGCTGCACTGAAGGGGAGGGATAAAGTAGCTCCTGAGGATATTGCCACTGTTATTCCCAACTGCTTAAGACATCGTCTTCGGAAGGATCCATTAGAGTCAATTGACTCTGGATTACTTGTCATTGAGAAATTCTATGAGGTGTTTAGTTGAGGGAGTTAACTAGGTATCCCTCTTTCTTGTAAGTTTTTGCAGGACATATTTTTTTCCCTTTTTGCTTCTATTGTCACTTCTTTTTTGTTTTTCCTCCATTTCCTGTGATCTCAATTCCAGATTTTGCAAGTAGAGGTATAGATTAACATTACCATCGATGTTATGTTTAAGTTAATTTTGTCAATGCTTTTGAGCAAAGATAGAACTCATATTACATGGAAGAATTCTAAGCATCTGAATGTATATTTTATCTTCTGTTTTTTTTTGGTAATTAGTTCTGTCTTGTGTTTATTTCCAGCTTTTGCTACTATGATGCAAAATGTCAGTGGTTGCAGGATCCTCAACTGTGAATTCTAACCCAATTAATGTTTTCAATTTTTTTTTTCTTTTGCTGTGTCAAGTCTGTGATCCAAATACAAAAACACCATTTATAAATGTGTAATTTTATTCATGGGGACACATATTGTGAGAATTTTATTTTTTGTACTTCCAGGAAGATCTAGAACATTTTATTAGAAACAGAAGAAAAAAAAAAGATTAAAGAACATAATCTAGGCTTGGAAAAACTTTCAATATTTGATGTATTTAAAGATCAATAGAAACAAGGGAAATAGGTCAAAAACAATGGTCACATTCAATCTAAAGAGGAAATAATTGAAGATTAATGTATGAGGGGAAACTAGATAAGCTAGAAAGAAGAAAGCATCGAACTTGGGATGTTTGTATCAATCATCCCCGCTGAACCAGTAACTGAGCATATGTGACTAGATGGGAAAAACGAAATCTTAGATGGGTTGATTTTGACTTTCTATGCTCAAAGATGACATAGTAAAAGCATGAAAAACGAAACATAAAGGCTGCTGTATATCTAACATTAACTGTAAGGCACAAAACACATGGTTTTCAGCAATCTAAATTAGACCTGTTGTAGAAAGAGGAATAAGCCCAATGGAATCAGCAGCTCAGGTTTCTTTAGGGATTGGCAGCAAGAGGTTGATGCTGTATGGAGATGCCAACCCTGAATATCTCCTTACCCTGAAGCACCCCTGAGTCCATATTGACATTCCAAGAAAAAACAGTGATGATTGGGAATTCATGGCCATTATCTAAGTTTATGTTTTTGTTTGGGTGGCTATTACTATTCCAGAAAGGTTGATTGTCAGCTGCACCTTGGTATATGCTGCTTGTTTTAACATGTTCAAGCTGTTTGAAGCCATCAATGCTTTATATTTCCCTGCCTGAAGCACACTAAGTTCATATTTATGTACCAGGAAGAAACAGTAGTGATATCTGATGCGTTAAATATATGGCCACTTGATTGGTTGATTCTTTCTGGTTCGTTTATGCAACAAGCTACAATTTTGTATAATTAAGAAGGATAACCATTTTAGAGTGGTTTGTAACATTCTTCATCATCATTGATAGAAGACTAGCATTTGAGCCAAACCATTTACACGGTTATACCTCCATAGCCTGTGAATTCTATGTTGCCGCCCACTTCAGATACGAGAATGGACATGAAATGGGAATTTATCCCCTTGTCAGATGTTATATTGTAGGTACAATTTAAATCTTTTTTTTTTTCAGTTTCTATTTTACAGAGCTGTGATTTTATGGAATGAATTAGCACTCAACACTGGTTTTAGTGGATCTTGTTGACTAACAGGAAACAAATTAGAATACACTACAACCAAATATGCGTTGAATTCAGGGCAACACATATTATCTAACATAATACATCAAAAGATACTGAAATTTACTTCCTGTTCCAAAGGCACTAACCACTATGATTAATGCCTCCAAAAAGGAAGAAATCAACAGAACAAACTACAGACAAGACTGGAGTGATGAACTCTTTAATAGGCATTTAAGAGTTGGGAATGCTCACACATTCTTCAGGAAATGGAGGTTGCAACTACTCACTAGTAACAGGAGGGAATATAGTAATTTTGGATGACATGATTGAAGTTGCAAAACACTCCTGTCTTGTTATTGTTATAAACAAGGAATTTTTTATTGTTCAACAACAATCGTACTTCTCAGAGAACACTTGGTTTGTGTTTTTTCTTTTTTGGTCGAAAAAGATTTTTAAGCAATACAAGATTTCAAATGAAAAGGCCAAAATGGTGTTTCTTTCATGTCCTTGCAAAGAATCCCATGTAAGCTCTACTGAACTCAACAAGCCTTGTCCCTAATATATGGATTCAACTTTATGGTCTTTCTCTACAATAGACCATCTTAGTATCTCCAAGCATTTCTTATCCATTTAAGTAACTTGTCATATCAGCATTCTAGTCATATTTTAATTGCAACACTAATTATAATAAACCTAAAACACTTCAAATTCCTTATTAGTCTATATCTATTAAAAAACGTTGCACAATCGGGAGGGTGTTGCCTACTTGCTTTGCTGATTATGCTCACAGTGGTAAAAGAATAAAACAGTGTGAGGCTGAACACCACCTTAGTGGTTGCCTATACTCAAGGTTCAAAATATCGATATGCCCGATATGCCGGTCGGGGCCTATCGGGTGAATCGATACTGCTTTTTGTTGTGTTTTTTTTTTTTTCACAATCGGTTCAGGGGGGCCGGTTTAGGGCTCCTCCACCCCCTGAACCGGTCAGACTCCTGATACACTCACTGTAGGGGTGTATCGGAAGGGTACCGGAACGATACATATCAGCCAACATGTATCGATACTTTGAACCTTACCTATGCCTGACCCCGCATTAAATAAGAAAATGAGATCATCCCTACTGGATGTCTGGATCCCCACAATAAAAGAAAGGAAAAGGAAAACACATTTGTTCAAGCTCTAACCTATCTTTTCAGAAAAATTTGCTGGTTAAGAGGTGAGGGCCGATAGGCCCAATGCTACAGAAAGTATGTTTATAAGCCAATTTTCTCGTAGGTGATGCTATATCAAGACTCAAGAGGGCTGCGATGAATATAAAAAATTTATAAAGCAATAACACAAACGACCGACCCATTAATTCTTTTATTAAAGCAGAAGCTCAACAGCAAGGGAATGGGTACCCGTATCTATGATTTTCTTGACTTTCTTCTTTTTAGACAATTCTAATATATATTCATATATTATAGCAGGAAGATAATTACGTTGTTTTAATTTTTGGAAAATTTGTACAATTCAATTCACATCCCAAATCAGTCTATACGGAACTCCTCAATCAACAAGGCTCGAGTTCTATAACTGGTGTTAGGTTTCATTTGTGGAATAAACTATGGACTTGTAAGTATTTACCCCCACGGTTATCACATTCATATGAAGACGTTTATCCAAGGCCCTTCCGGTTGGGACTGTGCTTACTAAGAGAATCTCTCATGTTGATCCTTTTTGTCCCTTGTGCTCTATGGAAGAGTTTTAGAACATCTATTTCTGCACTGCCCTTTAACAAAGTTTGTGTGGTGGGCCTCGAATTTATCTATACGATCTGAAGTGATTGATGGGACTTTAGTTGATTGGCTCTTGGTGTCCAATGTTATGGAGTTGGAGACCCACTCACCCTTTGAGAAGATAGCAATCGATATGTGGCACTTAATGTTTTAAAAACCGACTTAGAGGCCAAACCATTTTTGCCTGCGGGTCGTAGGTCACTGATTCTATCGGCTGGGCTGAATTATTTTAACAATAAATAATATATAAATATATTTTAGGTATGTTATATATATTATTTTTTATTTTTTATTTTTTAAAATATTAAAAATTATAATTTGAGGCCAAAAAGGGTTTTCTTTTATGAAAATAGTGGGGCAAGGTGCCTACGCCTCCTTGGGACATATAGGTCTCGAAAAAGTATCCAAAATAAAATAAAAAACACCCTAATCGGATATCGAAGCACAAAGTTATGGCCTCTGAAAGTTTTGTATACATTAAGTGTACAACCCGCAACTCGGTCACCGGGTCGAATGGGTCAACAGTCGGACTGGCCGGGTCAAACAATTCTTGACCAAATCAACGATTTTGACCATCTGACGGGTCTTGACTGAACCAGACCCACAATCCTGACCGGGTCACAATTTGAACGGTTGGGCCGGCCCGGCCAACGACAGGTTGAAAACATTGGTGGGTGGTGGCACTTATGAAAAGGTCATAATACTCTCAAATTTGACAAGTCAATCACCCTTCCACTATTATTGCTGTATCTCTTACTATGCTGAAGGAGTATTGGATATCATATGTACATAATAGACCTGTTCATGGGCCAGGCTTGAGCTTGACTTTTGTCAAAATATGAATGGGCCTGGCCTGAAGCTTAAGCCCAACAATATGGAAAATCAGGATCAAAGCCCGGCCCATGAACAGGTCTAGTACATAGTGTAGTGATTTCAGTGCCACTCTCTACACAGTGTTCTTATTGCTTGGCTCCCATCAATCGAGGGCACCAAAATGGTGAACATGGATGCTGAGTTCTCTTCTTCCACGACTGGCACTGAAGCCGTATTTGTTGATTCCTTCGGTAATCAAGTGGCTAGCTTGGCAGCCACTATTCCTCTTTGTTCCACAACTAGGGGTGAAGAGCAGGCTCTACTTGCTGGGCTTAGTTTTGGCTATTTCTCTCAACTTCAGAAGAATTATTCTAGAAGGAGACTCCATAGTTCCTATCCCAGTGCTTGTTGGACTCATCCAGTCATCCTACCTTCCTTGGTCCATTCACTCTTTTATTATGGACTGCAAGCAACTTCTCCTTTCATTTGTATCAATCTTGGTTCGCCATGTCAAGAGGGATTTCAATTGTGTTGCACATAAACTTGCTAAATAGGGGTGAGCAAGAAAAACCTAAAAATCAAACCAATCAAAACAATTGACCAAAACCAAACCGAAAATTCGGTTAACTGAACCGGTCAGTTCAGTATTTTAAAAAATCAAAGGTATCAATTCAGTTTTGGTTAATCAAAATAGAAAACTGGCGGTTAACTAAACCGATTGATATACATATATTTATATATTTTATGTATATTATATATATAGTTTATATATTTTTTATATTTTCTATATATTATAAATTAATAAATATTCATTATATATAAATATATATTTATAATATATTATTTATTATTTATTATTTAAAATATAATATTATATATATATATATTTATAATATATTGTAAATAATAAAAAAACCGATGAACTAATGAACCGAACTGATAATTAATCAAACCAGTTAACCGATTTGTTTTAGTTCAGTTTCGGTTACCAGTTTTCCAAAAACCGATAACCCCGATTCGATTTCAAA